TCAATCTAGTTTATTTGTTCTTGCAAAGCTTCTCACAAGCTGCAGTTTCTTCATCCTGGGCTAAACCCGCAGAATCTCTCAAAATCTGCAATTAATGCACATTTTAATATCAAAGTCAGGGAGATTCTTTCAAAACTACTGATATAATCGTAGAAATTACAATATTAGAAGGAAGCCACTTGGCCAATTGAGCTCCTTCACTCGAACTAATTATTTTAATCACAGTTCCCTGCTCTTTTCCAGTGCCCTTTTATACTCTTTCTCTTCAAATGTTTATCCAAGTGTATTTTAAATGTTATGGTCTCAGTCTTAATAGACATTTGCAGTAAAGAATTCCATGTTCTAATAACCTTCCGCGCGAAACTGGTTCTTCTCCGTCAATTCTTTCTCAACTTATGTTCCTCTTGGTTCTGTAAACACAAATTGCGCAAAAACTTCCAGTGTTCAATTATGCTCTGCAAATGACACCCGAAAACAATGAGCTCACTAAATGTGAGATTAATGCAATTGAAAAAGGAGCCAAAATGAAGCTTCACAGACATTTCTACGGTTTGACTATTTCACTCTAGATGTTTCTAAAATCTCTTGGGCATCGTCAAAACTCGATTCTCTACGAAGTATTTGGAGCCAAGTGAACAATGCTGACAAAAATCTCTTTGGCAAAAGGAATGTTGATGTAGAATGTACTGGAAAATCATTTGCAAAAGCAGTCCAAATCTGAATAGAATAGAAAACACACCATATAAAAATGCCTTAAACGTAAAACTTCATCAAACACTTTCTTATATATCACATCCGGTGTATAGTCTTCCGCCACTTAGTTTAGTCACTAACTCACTAAGCCTTTAACATTTTAGGTAAAGAGGAAATCCCAGAAGAATGGCTCAAAATCTGTGCACAATTCAAAATTTTACCCTAGGTCCCAACCAAACAAATGCTCAACCAACCACTTAGTGCAAAAACATAAATGTACTGAGGTCCCTAGCAAGATAAATCTGCCGATTTATCTTCTTCTGTTTTAAACTTCAAATACCAAATAATTTACTCAGGCCAGAGTATGGAATACAGATTCACTGGTTTCATCCAAATATAATAAGACATCAGGGGGCAAATGGAGAATAATTGAATAACGATCTTTGAATATTTCCAGCTTACACCAGAAAACAATGAACTACATTTACCCAACATTTAAGTGGCCAAATCGGAATACACAGACATGCCTACAGCCAACAAAGAGTCAGGACTCACAGTTTAGTCAGGATGTTAATCGTGACGGGGTCAGAAATCATTGACGAAGTGTTCTTTAGTAAGAGAAGTGTAGGGAAATTCATTTCTGCTAATTATATATAATAATCCATGCATTTGATATAGTGCCTCATCAGATCATCAAGATGTCTCAATGCGCTTCGCAGGATATAGTGTACAGTGGTATTTGACTGCATATTTTGTGGGCAATTTGCTGATCTATTTACAAAGCAATTGGAAGTGTACCACAGACACCGCATAGACTAGATTTGCTGTACTCCATATGTCTAGCAGGAAATAGGAACCCGGTTGTTAGTTGATTAGCAGATCACTTTTCCCTTTTCAAATTTTTTTAAAGAAATAATAATTTGGTCACTCAATCCACGACTGTTAGTGGGACATGTCTGAACTCAATTGGCTGCCGCTTTTCACCCACAAAATATACAGTCAATTCACTTTACAGAATATTCTGTGAAGTGCTTTGAGACGTCTTGAAGACATGATAAGATGCTATACCAAATGCAAGGATTATGATTATTATTTGATACACCCAAGCTTCACCAAGAAAGGTGATTGAGGCCAGGACATAATCTAACGGCCCTATCTCATCTGAAACCTCTGCTAATGATCTCATGCGAACTAGCAGAGCTAGGATTTTGTTTAGAGGGCACCAAAGTATTTAGTGTCGGTGCCATTATCAACAAGCTACGAGAGAGAGCATGTGGATGCCTTTATTGTGCCAGAACATGAAGCCCCTTCTGAGGGCTGCAGGTGGATTAACAGGGTTGAATCCAAATGGGTGATGTTACTGACAGACTCCCTGGGGATATGGAAGTCAAGCCAGGTGCAGACATTAATTGGATTTTGTCTTACGATCAAACCAATCGTTTAAAATTGATGGTTATTGTATGATTTCAATCATGGTAGTAAGGGAGAAATTAATGCAAGGTTATTAAACTTAGCCGTAATGGAAAAGGAAATTCACTGCAGTTTATTTAAGTCAGTTGAAATAATATAAAAGATCATTCCATTTCAAAAACTACTCACTGATTCCTAAACCACAGTACCAAAAATAATCCTCCCTGAGATACTCTTGGACGAGCCTTCAGCTACACTGCCCCAGCTTTCTGGAGCTCCATCCTTAGACTTGCCCGTCCCTCTCCACTGGTTTAACACCCACCATTTTGACCATGCATTCAGTCATCTCCCTCCCCACCACCCCTCCAGGTCAAGCACCCAGTCAGGTGTGTAATGAGCTTCTGCTGACATCTTTTCAAACTGAAAAGCACCATATAAATGCAAATTGTATTCCAATTGTGTCATAGCATTGTGCGTGCAAGAAAAATATTAATTTAAACCTTCATAATTTCAATTGGGTCAGTGAACGGTCAGATTTAAAAAAATAAATAGGGTACAAACAATCTGGCACATCAACTGAAGGAAAAGCACATGGGAGTAGAAGGCTGCTAAATTCCTGTGTGTTTTAGTTGTTCCACTTGCTTCAAAACTACTGGGCAGTCCTAAAACGGTGATATAACAACCTATAGTAATAACATAACATGTAGGAGCAGGAGTAGGCCATTCGGCCCTTCGAGCCTGTCCCGCCATTCAATCATGGCTGATCTTCTCATCTAACTCCAGCTAATACCATAACCCTGCCTTATCCCCATATCCCTTAATCCCTTTTGCAATAAGAAATCTATCTATCTCAGTCTTGAATACGTTCAAGGACTGAGCGTCAACAGCCCTTTGGGGTAGTGAGTTCCATACATTCACCATCCTAAATAATAATCCTTGTATTTGATATAGCGCCTTATCACGTCTTCGAGACGTCTCAAAGCGCTTCACAGAAGATACTGTAAAGTGAATTGACTGTATATTTTGTGGGCGAAACGCAGCAGCCAATTGCACACTGCAGCGTCCCACAAACAGTTGTGGATTGAAGTGACCAATTCCACAAATCACCAATTGTGATATACAGCAGTGCACAGGCGTACATTACAAAGATGCAGTGGGGAAAGATAGCAAAGCAATTTCAACATGAAGATACATAATATTACTCCAGAAAGTTTTATGTTCTCCACAGTTAAAAAAAATCCATTCAGTAACACAGACATAAACTTCTCTGCTTCGTACCGAAATGCAACCGATTTCTTATTGATCAAGCGCATGTAATTTTACATCTCCTTCAATGAAAAACAAGGAAAATGTTTTCAATTTTGGTGTGCCCATCAAATAAACAAAGTTACTTTGCAAAGTACTGTACCTCTTTACTCTCAAATATTAGCCAAACCACATTTGCTCTGTTGCTTGGCAACAAAATCGTAAATAACAACAGGCAAAGGCTTCTGCCACTGGAATGCAAACAACACACAGATCAATGAAGCTGCAGGCATTCTCACAGGCCTGCTGTAACATCGGAACAAAAATCAGTCTTATTGACGACTAAAGCAGTCTATCAACCGTGTGTGTTTGTAATCAGCAACGACATCATACCGGGAAACAAAGACTCCAGCAGGATTCCAAATCAAGCCATTTATTTCCTGAAAGTTCATCTCTAAATACAGTGTCTCGACGGATCCGACATTTGCAAATGCCTAGCTATGTCAATGAAAATGACATGTAAATGTCTGGCTTTCATTATATTTTCTGCAGTCGTTTGCATACAACAATCCCTGAACATATTGGAAGGTTTTTTTACTCAACGCACATTTCAAACACGCGACCTGCACAAACTGCAAGCTCCCCACTTCCTAAAAAGGAAACTAGCAAGACATCAGGTAATCAGAATTTGCCATTGGCCAAAGTAACATGTTTGAGCATCCAATTCTACATTACTAGTTGATGTCAAGGAGGCTTTAGCCAAAGTTAATTATTCTGATATATAGTTTTCAAAAAGGAAATAAGTAATTACAGTAGTGGAAAATCTCTACATTCCGCATCCTCATTCTTAAAACCATGGGGATAAATCCGCAGTCGGCCCTTGGAGAACAGAGACAAGGACCACTTCATTTAAAAGTAGCTACAAAAATCTGCTCACGAATTAAGCAAACAGTTCTGATATGAGTTTTCAGAGATCGTTCCTCACATATAATTTTTTTTTAAAGATTCTTAACCATAATTTCAACGTTTTAACTTAACAGGTGTTGGTGAGAATCAGCCTTGCTTCACCTCCTTTAAAAATGTTACCACATTTTCCTGTTCATCAGCAGCAAAATGTAACCATTGTGTTATGTGGTCCATCCTGTTTGTCTTTGAGCTTATACACGGTCAATGCTTGTATTTGTGGCACCTTACCTGATAGTCTTTCTTCCATGTGCTCTTCAGTATATTACAGCTGCTATTAGCCACTTACCTAAACTTATTCTACCTTGCCTGATAAGAGGAACACTAAGGTTGTAAGTGGTTGCAGAAAGCTGTCCCCTGGAGTTGTTAAACTAATGGTTAGTTTGTGCCCATGGTTATGCACAAATTGAGTTCCTAATCTCCACTGCGTCCATTCTCCCCATAGAAGAGGGGGAAAACAGAGGTGCGAGAAGCCCAGGCTGTTCTTGTACATTCCATAGCAAGTGATGATTTGGGAGTCTAGGAGACACTCGTGGGGAGATGATGGAGAATAACAATAACTTAGCAAAACATGAGAGGTGAGAAGAATTAACTTGCTGGGAAATACAGCGCAAGTTACTCAAACCTTTCATTCAAGTTGGACATTACAAACGTGTTGGGAAACAATACTAAAGCTGAAAACATCTTACCATTATGTTCATCTAGTTCATTTCCTATGTCTTGACCCATTTGTTTTTGTCTGGCTATTACTGTTGCTAGAGCGTCCAGACCCACATCTTGTTCTGAATGTAGAGAGCACAAAAAAACAATTTAAAAATGTTATTGCAATATCCACAGGGAAAGGAATGTCTCCGGGTGTAGGAAATTTTCCCACACTTCTGACAGAAGTTAACTTTTATTTTACATGCGCACTAGGACGCTACCCTGTGTGAAGGGCGCGATATAAATGCAAGCTGTTGTTGTTACTTCTGTTGCAGCACAGTCTGCTCTGCATTCTGTGCTAATGGTGCTCTTACCTGTACTAAGAGGTGGCACGAAGTGCATCAGGACAGATCGGATCAGTGTTCTCTCTTTTCCACACTTGTCCCCAGGGGCCAAGCAATGGAGCAATCACTGAATATTTCTGAGGCATTTTGCCTAATGTCCCAATTAGAAAGAGCAAATTGATCCCAATTAAGATATGTACACCGCATTAACAGCCAAGATTTGGGATTCAGATTTGTTGAAGCCAATTCTGTAACCACTGGTCTTCCTGACCATTCAGGTCCGACTAGATTTATTTTCAATAGATCATCTTGAAACACTTTGAGACGTCTCAATGACCTGATAAGGCACTATATCAAATGCAAGGATTATTATTATTATATTTAGACTTAACTTAAAATAAATGACATTCTAATAATAACCTTTGCATTTAATAGGGAGCCTTGTCAAGTCTTCGAGACGTCTCAAAGCGCTTCACAGAATATACTGTAAAGTGAATTGACTGTATATTTTGTGGGAGCAAAATGTAACAACAATGTTGTCTCTGCAAAGTAACTTTTTAACGTCCACCTTCGGATTCAGTATCAGTAACCGAAAATCTAAAATACAACTTCATCTAAATTGCTGAGGTGGAAGAATTAAAGGCAAATTATTGAATAAATATATTTTATCTAAAGTTATCTGGTTATTTTTCGTTTCCAAGGGTTGCCACAGTACCTGAGATTTAAAGCACTATCAGGTATCATATATTTATACAATTATGAGTTTCAATATAAAAGCACTAAATAATAATCATCATCCTTGTATATGACACAGCGCCTGTCTCAAAATCTCAAAATGTTTTAAGATAATTTGCTGGGCGAAGTTGTGGAAGTGGGGAAAGGCAGAGTCGAGTGTGCATCCTTGGACCTCCATTCAGCAGGACCTCAATTGAGTGTATATACATATGTGTGTTACAGAGACATGTTGATTTTCAGCATTGATGGGTTGAAATGATTCCTAAGTGGTCAAGTTAATTACCTATAGCACACAAAGTTATTGTTATTACTACTCACTATCAGCAATCGAGTTTCTGGCAATTGCAAAAGCTGCATCTCACATTACAGCCATGTTACGCTGCATCAAAGAAACCAAACTGTAAAAACCTTGCGACTAATAAACCTGGGGATTTAATTCAAATACCAATCCCATTATTTTGACGAATAGTCATTACTACAGCTGTGATTCTTCTAAATATCTATCTGAATCCATTACACTTACAGTTTCCAGACAATCTAATCCAAAACAAGACTATAAATTGCTCAGCTTCACTGGGAATAACTGCCACCTAGTGAGTTACTCCAGTGAGTACAGCAGATTTTTGTTTCCTTGTGTGAAGTTCTGCAAAAAAATTATTACCATTAATTCCTTTATTATTGTTGTAAATGAGTACAAATAGCATGTACATTCATTTTCCAAATGGTTTCCTTCAATTAGAATTAGCTTATCTGGAGGAGATTAATATCTAAATCAGTTCTAGTGGTTACTAATGTGTTCCTGGAGGCAATGCAAACTCATGCTTGCCACATCAGTTTGTGAGTATTTCTCAGTCAGCCCAAATCAGTGGCATTGCACTGGTTATACCTTGAATAATTCTCTGTTGTTGATGTTTGATTTCCCCAAAGTCAAGTCCTTTGGTCTCCTCTGTCTCCTCCGTTAACCACGGGTTGTTGGGCCTGTTCCTTGCCTCCCCGCTCATAAGGCTGGACCTGAATAAAGAAACAAATTTAATGGAAAGGCTCAAAAAGAACTGATAGATAATCTCTAACTACAGCATATATAACAATCTATAATAATAATAATCCTTGCATTTGATATAGTGCCTTATCAAATCTTCGAGATGTCTCAAAGCGTTACACAGAAGATACTGTAAAGTGAACTGATTGTATATTTTGTGGGCGAAACACGGCAGCCAGCACAGCAGCTTCCCACAAACAGTCGTGGAATGAGTGACCAAATTATTATTATTTTTGGAAGAGATTATTATCTGCCGGAAAGCAATCTGCCAATTAACAAACAACCGGGTTCCTAGTTACTAGAAACCTGCCTAAAGTTTTGCCCCGCTTTAACTAATCTCTAACTAACTGCATGCATTGCGGAGAGTGTAGGGATACAAGGTAGGGGTCTAAGTGAGGGAGTCAGGAGTGAGTTATTAAGTAGGGGAAGAAAATGTTGCATTCAACATTATTACAATCGGTATTTGCTACACACAAGTAAACATCTTTCTAACTACAATTGAGAAAATAACAGGTTTGAAATGGTTTCTAAAAAGAATAATTATAAAGCATGGGCATGTTAGCAGCGGGCTGATCACGTGAGCTGCAATTGCTCTCTGTCCAGAGGTAGATGGCTAATATTATTTAAGGTCTCTCCAGCAAGGATAACAGATTAATATATTTTCTGCCTAAACAAGATTAAATTCAGTTTGGGGCCATGGAGCTGAAATTAGATTTAATTTCTGTGCTTCATACGAAAAGTAAAAGCATCGTCATGAAATTTGCTGCAATCATCTCAGCTCGATAAGCAGTAAATACACAGTTTAACTCTTCAGAGTGTGGCAGCACTGCACTATTACAAAAGGAGAAAAATAATTGCATTCTGCCTCGTTATCTCAGAGCCAAAGCTTTCAAATCGAAGACCTCTACAGCAAAGAAAAAGCAACTAATTATTCAACCCATCAAGTCTGTCTCAACATAAGAGACTTTATCTAATCCCACTTCACTTTATTCTGGTTCCCCGACTGCAAGGATTTAAAAATTCTACTTTAGACTCAACAACAACTTTATAAAGCGCCCTTTACATGGGGTAGCGTCCCGGAGCGCTTGACAGTGTCAGAGACCGACCCCGAGCCAGGGAGAGATGGAGGGGGGAGGTGACCACAAGCACGTTCAAAAAGGAAGGTCTTTAGGTGGGATTAGGCAGGACTCAGAAGCACCTTCAGCTTAATGCTTCATCCCCATCAAATTAACCTTCATGCTAATGTACCAATATCTGCAGTGGGATGGGACACATGTTTGAACAACTGTTGCCTGATATCAACTCAGTAAATGTGTTGGGTGAAGTGTGCTATTCACTGCTGCTGCATCATTGGGTGGGGAGGGAGGGCAAACTAAATTGAACCACTCATCCTTGCAGTTGGTTCAGAGGAGTACTGATACCTGTTTGTAAGTGTCTTTATCAGGAACGATGCATGTGAGAACAGGACAGAAAGGAGTTTCAAAAGAGAGATGGGAGCAAACATGCAAGTGTTAAATTTGGCAAAATTAATGGTTAAAACAACAAAAACGGTCATTTACAAGATTTGCTATAAGCAAATCCTACAGGCATTTGAATGCATTTCAGGCTGATCCACCGCTACACTCACTCACACACACACTCACTCACACCCACACTCACACTCACTCACCCACACCCAGTCAGTCACTCTCTCACTCACACAAGGAAAATATTTTTCATATTCGGTATATAGCTTTCCAAAGGATTAATTTGAATTATAAACTGTAATTCAGTCATTTGAAATCTTTATCATTGAGCACGCAAAGGATCAAAGGTTCAATGACGTGCATTTTGGAGCCAATGCACTAAATCAAACACTAATTAATTTTGCAACATTGGCAATTTCTGCTCATCTGTTTACACCACTGAATGATTTATGTTATTTACATAAAAATCCACACAGTTTAACTGTAAAAGAACGGTAGATGAAAGGACCTTAGTAATTACAATAAATTGTACCAAATGCAATGGAAATACAAAACCACCCAGTGATTTACGATAATTTAAATGCAAAAATATTTCCTTATGATGGACTTCCACATTTTAACTACAGAAGACTAAGGAGCTTCACCATAGACTCCACTTTACACAAAGAAACTACATGGAGGCTCTAAATACGCAAAGCATTTGCCTATATGGGGAGAATTTGAGCACTAGAGCCAATTCAATAAAAGTGGCTGTTAAAAATTTCAATCACAATAGAGAATAAAATATGATCTGCATTTTGCATAAGCATTTTGCATTTTTCCTAAAGTCCGTCTGCCACCTGGTGGGGAAAGCACTACAGAAAAGCAAAGGCCACACTGAACAACGCACATATTACAAGCAATTTAAACTGGCACAGCAACAAATCTTACAGCAATTTCAGACATTAGCAAATATAGTCAAGACACACTAGAACTTGAGACAGACACAAGCACCGAGCAAAATTCCTGTCTGTAATACCACAGTCACTCTTAAATTAATGACTTCACAGTATAATGCAAGCAATTAGCAGCAATCTGAATCACTGTCTCTTCCCGAACAACCTGTTACAAATCCATCTAAAACCATGACAAATGTCACCCGATAACAATAATCTTTATGACATGTTTGGTAACCGCCTTGTAGTAAACACCATTCTACTTCCTTTTCCCCCTCTGATCTTGCCACGTTTCGCTTTAGCAGTGTAAAGATTAAAGTTTATCCAATTAACCTCCCACTGATTTTGCCATGTTAATTACCTAAATCTCTGGATTCGTCACAGAGCAGTGGAGTGTGCAGATGATTTCTGATTTTTTTNGTGATCAGCTTTAACTAATTATGGGGCTTTGAGATTTGCTCAAATATAAAAGGTGAGGGCGGACCTGAATCAGGGAGCTGTGTCGCTGTTTAATAACCAGAAGCTAATCTTCCAGAGGCTTTTGCTTCACTGCAAATTCTTCCAATAAAGAAACCTTTCCAAAATGCCTCTGATAACTGAACCGCAGCTTTTTTNCCGGACCCAGGCCACACATTAAGATTTAATGTCGCTTTCCTGGATGAAGATCTGCAAGACTGCATCACAATTGACTGGTCGTTTGGCGTCACTTGGCACAGACGCTGAATGGAATTCTTCGCAAAAAGATGTGTCCTGCAAATTTACTAACAATTATAACATTTGGCCAGCGGCTGCTTTTAAAGAAGCGGATGTGAGCCCAGTGAACAGTGCTAAAATGTAAATTGCGAGTGATTATATCACCTCCAGAACTTGCTGATTTGAACACCGTCTTAATGTTGACATGTGATCAATCGAACAAAAAAAGTTCCAGTGAATAACACACAGTTGAACTTTGGCCAATTTTTCCCAGAATGAATAAAACTCCTGTCGTTCAATTTATTACGTTTGCTTTTGAACAAAATCTGTCCAGGTTTGTTGTGTTCATGTCAAAATGTAGAATGGATCTTTATTCCACACTGTTAAAAAGGGTTAGGTTTGCTCATCCAGTTACTTTTTTCATACAATACACATTCCACAATAAAGAGTTGAACTTCTGTAAAAAAGTCCTCATCAATGTCACAGTTCTCATTACTGGGACGCCACATGCCTTCAGTGTGAGCAACGCATCAGCTTTATTACCCTTTCACCTACCACCACCCCCAACATTATAGCAGATCTCAGCATGCCCGATTCACCACGCTTAAAATAAAGAATAGACGCAAGTCACTGCAAAAAGCACAGGGGCAAACTTCTAAGCTTTGCTCAGTTGGACACATAGGAAAACAGAAGTGTGGTTAAGTGAACTTTTAGCTGGTCCATGTTTTCTTTGCCAATTGTCTTGCCTTCACCTTGCCCTGAACGCTTTGACTCGTGTTGGAGTAGGGTTTCACATGTGGCAGCCACTCTGTCCTTTGTCCAGACACTATTCTTCACCTGTGAGCCTTGGCACTGAGTGACTGTTGGACCCCAGAGCTTCTGAACAGCCAAGTCTGATCCTGAGCTTACTCAGCATCCACACACCCTCTCCCTATGGAGCAGGGAAATCACTGGGTAGAGATAATAGGCACATAAATACTGACTGATTACCTTCCCCTTCCTCGCCCAGAGAGGCACAGAAGCCAATTTGACAGCCTCAACTGGTACCGAGCAAACTCAGGACACGGTAGCAATTCCAGGCTATGTGCAATAAATATCAATTAATCCACAATGTTAACCAAACTCTGCGGTACATGCAATGTTTACATAATCACCCAAAGTCCACTCCTTCTTATGGAACTTCAACTTTCAGTCCTTTGTTTCAGTGAAAGCGCACTGCACTTCATTGCAACGATTACATTTCCCACACCAGCCATCTTTGTGACCTCCTTCTCTCCTGTCAGCTCAAGCCCACTAGAAATTGGGTTGAGGCAGCATAAACGCAATCAACAAAAGGCTTAAAAGCAGCAAAGACAGACTCTAAAGTTTAGGAATCAAAGCTCCATTTAAACTCAGAGCAGAAAATAGTCTTTTAAAACAACGGCTGATTCAGTACTCTTTACTTGTGTATGTCCTCATGAAGCAGCCAATAAAGGATAACCAGGATGGACAGACTGCCCCACATTTTGCTTTTTCTTGGCACAATGGATTCTGTTGGACCAGATCTATTCATCGTCCACATCAGCTCCAACATGTATAGCACACAAAATGCACGGAATACGTCAACGTAGTAAAATGAATGCTGAAATAATGTACTCCCTCCCAAGGCTGAGAATTTCCGTACACAGAGTCTGTGCGAAAGAAACTCGGTGTCTGGTAGGCACGTAATGTAAAGCTTCAGTCTGCAGGAGAATTATGCAGTGAGGCCCCAGGCCACTGGTCATAGTCTCAGAGCATTAACATCTAAATGCAAGCTCACAATTTCCAAAGAAGTGACAGAAACAGAGGATGTGCTTCAGAGCACGAGCAGCCTTTACTTACGGATTTTCCACACCATGTTGTACACCAGTCAGACAAAATGTTACTGAACATCTTATGCAGGACAAAACTATCTTAAGCACAGACGCACCACATGTGAAATATTTTTAAGTAAAGGATAGAAATGCTATGGGAAATTCTACTTTCGACAGAGTTCTGAGGCTCATGCTCCCTTTGACTTGCTGGCTCAAAATAAATCATACCGGATCATATCAGGTTCCGTGCCATCCTTCTTGAAATTTGCTTGAAGTTGTCGCTCTTTTGTCAGCAAATCGTCCACTAAATTTTGACGTCTGTCTGCTTCGAGCTGTGTGCTGAAAGCGAATTATTAAAGAACCACAATATGTTTTGCATGGTTATTAGTATAACATCAGTGTACTATTAATATTAATTATATATTGAAAACTGTCCATTAAAATTACACTTGAGTTTATGGATTAACAGTAGCATAACAAATAATCATGGTAAATATTAAAAGCAGATAAATTATTCTGCCATGGCCAAGAAGAGAATTAAAAAAACTATAGAGTTTCTTCAATTGAAGCACATTTTCCAAAATTAAAAATCATTAATCAGAATAATAATCCTTGCATTTGATATAGCGCCTTAACACATCATTGAGATGTCTCAAAGGGTTTCACAGCATATATTATAAAGTGGATTGGCTGTGTAATTTGTGGGTGAAACGCACAAAATACACAGTCAATCATGGATGACCTCAGCCAGGATGAGATGAAAATCGGCCAGGGTTTGCATGCCCTGATGACTGTCTAAATACGCTTGCTGGAAGGTGCATAGGGCGAGGGCAGGGTCAGACTTGGCTCTGATGCTGCTCTGGATGAAATATCTGCTGACATTCATCACCAAGGCTCCCATGCAATGAATAACCACTTGAGTGTGGTCCTAGAGACAAGCAGACAGCATTCCCTATTGCATTAAACAGGCTTGATTTCAGCTGGATATGGTGTTCCTACTGCTCACTGTAGCTTATTTAAAATATAATTTGTGTTTACTCAGGAGCACAAAAATCAACCCTGCAATTTCAAGGCTTTTTTTAAAATCCCTATTCCTGTTCTGTTATTTTTAAAAAAGTCATCCATACTTTGCATTTTTTTGTTTTGCAAAGTAATTAATTACTATTTATAATTTTCAGAAAAGTATTTGGTCAGTAAAAGATCTACAGAGCTGATTCTGGGCTAATCTTTTTTTTAATCTTTGTGGCTATGGAAAATGAAAAACGCTTTGAAAAGATACATCTGGAGTATGGATAAGCTCCGCAACAAAGCCTCCTTCAATTGGCTGATCTGTTCCTGGAGTTTCTGGAGAGATACTCGAATTGTCGCATTCAACTGAAAAAAAAGGGATAAAAAACAATCATAATAATAATCCTTGCATTTGATTCAGCGCCTTATCACATCTTCGCAACGTCTCAAAGTGCTTCACAGGATATACTGTAAAGTGAATTGACTATATATTTTGTGGGCGAAACGTGCACAACATCTTCAATCCATCCAATAATTGACAAAAATGCTACTATTTCACGCTGACACAATGGAGTACACGGTTGCAGGAATAGCAAGAGAAACTCAGCAAGAAATTCCGCAATGCACTGAGCTACAAACTGGAAAACATTTTTGGCCTCTGGCACCCATTCAGAATCCATTAACCAGGTAGCCAAATGTCTTCTTAAGTACCAAAATCTTGGTAATGCCTTTGAAGTTACAGAATCCCTCACAAGTAGCCAATGCATTGTTTAACCTTTACATCAGTAGTCACAAATGGTCTCAAAGGGAGTTATTAATAATCCAACACCAAGTACACTACTATTAGTTCACAATGGAAGTGCAAAAGGCAGGAAAAAGAGCATCTTACCCCATGCAGAACATTCACTATTTCCCCCCACCTTGTTAAAGGGAAACTAAGCACCAGCACAACTGCCTTCGAGTCATCAACAACAACAACAACAACAAATTACATTTGTATCGCACCTTTGGCGTCAGGAGGACGTCCCAAGGCACTGTCCCAAGTCAAAGTCGCCTACAAAACAAGATTTCTTCTCTCCTCGAGAAAAAAAACACTAAAAAAAAAACCCAAAAAGCCAAAACACACAGGATATACTTAGTAATGTAGCATTGAGATATAAACCGCAGGTGCCCATCTAACCTGAAAAGTGCTGCACTAAATGTAAGGCTTATTATTATTATACTATTATTATTATTTCACATTTGTGCTTGGGGAGGGAAAGCTTCTTATAGAGGACATGGCCCATTCTCCATGCCCAACTCCTTCGCCCAGTCTGTTTCCTCAAACGGCGTAAAGGAAGAACTGCATATTCTAAAGGAAAGGTCGTGTTACAGGAATGATTCTTCCTGCTCTCGTTTGACCAAACACACCAATTGCTGTGCGTATTGTACCCTTTCTGTGATGGAAGCTAGTTGATCAATTGTCATCTTACTGTTACATTCTCAACACACAATCTGTAGAACACTCTTTTATTTCAGCTTGCACATTACAAAATCAAACAGTCCCATCAAAACCCTCTACTCAGTTCTCCCTGCTTCCTGTTTTTTCTACCTCCTCATCCCCTTCCATTAATCCTGGTCAATTGGTCCTTGTTGTCTGAATGAGTATCCAACATCTACCACTAAACATCATTCTGCAGCGTCTGAGTTAGTGAATTTTTTTTTATTTTAAAAAGAAAAACGATTGAAGCAGTGAGGAGCTAGTCTGCTCTGTAAAGTGCATTCGTTTGGCATAATGACCGCAGTGCTGCCTGAAGATTTATTCTGTACGTTGCCATTACAGCAAATTGTAAAGTTCTGCTGTGAGGCGTTTTCTTTACAAGCAGCTGCTGTTCATGGTTGTGGTGTGATTTGAAAGAAAATAAATTGATTTGCATATTTTGAGTTGCTTCCCTCTTTAACAAATCAGCACTGTATCCTAGCAGTAGTTTGCGCACAGCTACAGTGACCTCTGCTGTATATTCTGGGATCTGAACAAGATTTGTTCAGTGCGAATTGGCCAGTTTCACACTTAACACGGCACACACTCAGCAGGATACATCTCTTTGATTTGATGTTTCTGGTCTCCCTGTTCTGCATCATTAATTATCTAGTGGTAATTATCTACTGATCCGGGTAAGGAAATGCATGTTAATGCTCAGGGGTAATGCATATTCTAAATAATAACAATGGGAGCCAGGATTTGGCATTAGACCCACTCCATCCCCATTTTAGAATTCGGAAATAGAGGAATGCGATTCCTATTCCCTTAGAATAGGTCGTTTTCATTTAGACAGAGTCACTGGCCATTGTAAAGCATTTACTAAGCAACTGTCCTTTCCCCTGCCATTTCTCTCAGCGGAAGGCCACGTTTCAGGAATGATTCTTCCTGCTCTCGTTTGACCAAACACAGCAATTGCTGTGCGTATTGTACCGGCACCCGTATTAACAGAGGTAAGGTAATGCATGTCATTAACTTCGAGGGTTATTCTGAGAGCTTTCTACATTTATTTCTTCCAGGAGATGAAAACCACGACCTGCAGTCAGATACAAAGGTATTTTATAATGTATTGGGTAAAGTAACTGCCCAGTGTATCCATGCAGATGAAAAGATAACAGGGCTGTGCTGAATTTCCTGACACCTGCCACAACAACATTTGGGGTGCTACATTTGAATGATGTGCACCTAGGCTTGGGAAGGTGGGGGAACCTTATCAATAATTACTATCCAGTAACCTCGCCTGTAAAATAAGCATTTGTGCAAATTGGATAAGGGCAGGAACTGACTCAGTCTCATACATTCCCCACAGTTAATTAACCTGCCAACGTTCAGTGTCGAGACTTACTAATGAAAAATGGGCCTTGGGCACTTTAACATGCCCCAGCAAGACTCAACTCTTTAAGCGAAAGAGAGGAGAAAATTGGCCAAAATCCCAGGATTGAGAGCTCCACTTATGAGAGGGGACTGTTTTCTCTAGATTGAGAAGAAGTCCAGGAGAGGTTTTCAAAATTATAAGGGGTTTAATGAAGCAAATAGGCAATGAATCAGGAACTTGAAATTTCAGATTTGAATTAATCACCGAAAGAACAAAGAAAGAGGTTAGAATTGTCTTTTATGCAGGAGGTTATTAGGACCTGGAATGCCCCAACCTAGAACAGTAGTTCAGGCAGAATCCATATTAACTGTCAAGAGGGAATTAAATAAATACCTGAGAGGAAGAAATATAAAAGAGTATGTAGGAAAAGAAGTTGAACAAAACTAAACCAGTAGCTCTTTCAGAGAGCTATCACAGGCACAATAGGCTGAATGGCCTCCTTCTATGCTGTAAATTTCTGTGCTTCAAATAAAGCTTTGCAAAATTATGCATTTTTAAAATGTCATGCCTAAGCTTTTTATCTATTTAATTCAACACAGGTATTTAAAACGTGTTTCAATAAGCTTAAAAAAAGAACATAGATGGCAGGCTTGATTTATCGACTGCATTGGTCCTTTGTGCCAACTAGCACTGAGCAAAAGTCTCAGAGCTAATCTCATAACCACTTGCTGTGTGTCAGCTTCTCAGCATGATGTTTCGGAGCAGGGTTAAGTGATAAATCACAGTATGGGAAGCGAGCAGGAGAGTGGGATTATATTAGGTGGCTCATTTGGAGATTTGATGGGCCAAAGGGCCTGTAGGTGTAATGTAACATTTTATGATTCTGTAATTGAAGCCACAGAAATTTTTCTCTGTCGCTTGACTTAAAAGTGCAGGACATAATAGACTGTGTGCCCAGAGTCAGCCAACTGCCTAGCTAAATGGAAAAGATTTTCACTCTTTAAATGTGCAGATATGTAGCAATGCGGATAAGGAAATGTATGTTAAAGCTCAGGGGTGACACGTTATTAACATCAAAGTAAGGTAATGTATGTCATTGACATCAAGGGTTATTCTGAGAGTTTTCTACATTTCTTTCTTTCTTTCAGGAGATGAAAACCACTACCTGCAGTCAGACACACAGATATTTTATTTTATAATGTCCATCATAGCTTGGGATGAGTTGCACCACTGTGCATGTTTTTAATAACCTGTGGGCCTGGGCAATATCACTTACAGGCAAGCAGCAAGTAATTTTTGGTATTTGCTTACCCATAATAAAGTTAAACGCATAATTTTCACTTGGGTGTGACGCGCACACCTATATCATGCGGGTAGCATATATTCACACACACAAACACACAAGCGATCCGCCAATCAACTAACAACCAGGTTCCTACTTATTGCTCGGTAAGCAGAGGCGTATGGAATAAGAAAACTTGCCCAACATTCCGCCCTGCCCGGGAATCGAACCCAGGTCCTCTCGCTTGTGAGGCAAGTGCTCTAAACACTGAGCTACAGCACTCGGACAGGCCATCAAAACACATGTGCACGTATGCCCATGTTATTGCTATACTCTGTACATGATCAAAGAAGTTCAACCCTTCACTGTTTTTACAGCTGGCATTTTACATTAAGTGCACATAAATATTCACCTTTGTAAGTGCGTCAATGACGCGCTGCATGGAAGCACGTACTCAACAGTACACAAAGTCCTCCCTTAAACAAAGACATGTTGGCACCCCACACCTTTATGTTATAGCCCAGCTCACAACTTTCAATCCCAAATTAAAGTTTATATAGTATATAGATAGAATTATGTATACCACCACAGTAACTACAGATAACAATAATAATAATAATCCTTGCATTTGATATAGCGCTTTTCACGTTTTCTAGACGTCCCAGATGCTTTAGATTAAGATTAGAAAAGATGATGGCTCTATATTGCCAGCAAGGAAAGGAAAGTGCGTACTCTTCAGAAAAAGAGTAATAATTCTAGAAATCATTTAAAATGATAGTTTGATTTTTCACATAGTTTTTCACAACTTTCATTGAACTGGAATGAAGGGAATCTTATAATATCCAACATCAGTGGATTCTTTCAGGCATTAACCAAGTTGTTAGTGCCTTAGTATCAGTGGAAATGAGTGTCTGCAGCATCTGTTTTCTTTTCAGTCCATGTACTGAAAATCCAAACAAATGCACATTACGATTTTGGCTGCCGAGGCCCGGATGCCCTATTTGAGAAACATAAGCAATACTTTTCTGTTTCCGTTCCAGAAACATAACATTTACGGGTTATGGAGGGAGCGGAGGTGGGGGGTGGGCAGATAAAATCAGTCCATGGGTCACCAGTTGGGACCATCCTGATTATAGATTATATGCCTGCACCACCATACAAACACAGAATCCCCGTCCTATCCCCCAAAACTCAAATCTTTGAATGTACTGAACAAATATAGCTTAAGACAAGGCACCTTGACTTTTGTGTATTCATCCAAAATAAATTCAACATGGAAGAAAGCTTCAAATGTTTAGGTGAGCAAACCCTGGATACATAGGTGCAACTTATTTCTGCTTTCACTCACCGAAATAAATTGAAAACTGGGGCACTGGATTGGGGGAAAGCAAAAAAATCCAATTTAATTTCCATTCAAACTGTCCTTGTTTGCCTTTGAAGAGTCAGCACGGTCCATGCAACATTTACTCGGGAATTATCAGGAAAGTAATTTAAATGATTTAAAACACATTGCAATCACCACTTCAATGGAGAAGCTGTTCCCATACAATAAGCTGGGTTGAATTATGTTTTAGCTATTGTTTTTCCCTGATATTATTGGCCAAGATCCCAGAAAATGACAAGAAATGTACTATTATGCTAGGAACAGGCCCTTTGTCTTAGGTCAAGGGAATAAAGTTTCGCCCATCTCAGTACTTTGATGGTGGGCAAGTGCATCCAAGGCTGTTCAAACTTCCAAAAAATACTTCCAGATGGATAGATTATTAGTTGTAAAGGATGTCCAGTACAACCATGGAGGCATCCAAGTGGTTTGTCACATTATCGTACAAACACAGAGGGAATACAATGGGAAAATGTCATTTAGTTCATCTGGGCGATTTCTTTGAACACTTACATTACACTATGTTTTGCCTTGACAAGAATATTTAACCTCCTGTAACTTTTATAAGATTTCTCTGACAGTTTCCACCAAGGTGATTTGTTTAACAACGGATCATCAGAATTGAGTCAATCCTCTGTGGTGATCTTGCTAGTCTGATTCCTGACATAGGCAGGTCCACAACATTTCAGGGCATTGCTGATGGCAGATCGACCAGCCTGGCTCACGTCTTCGAGACGTCTCAAAGCACTTCACAGAATATACTGCAAAGTTAATTGACTGTATATTTTGTGGGCGAAACTGGGAGCGAAACTCCCAGATACTGGCAGCAGGGATTCTTCTCACTCAGCTCCTGTAGCCCTGGAAGCCAAAGCTCTAATTCAAGGGTGAGTAGCTCACTAGTAGTGGTAAGTTGGCAGACAGTGCTCTCAATGGCAAGTCACACAAAGTTTGCTGGTTAAACTTCTCAAGGGACAAACTAGGGTTCTAAAGCTTTGGCTCTCACCAATCTGTACCTAATAATCCTTGCATTTGATATAGCGTTTTTCACATTGGGAGGACGTCCCAAAGCGCTTCACAGAACACACTGTAATACACTCTGGTATCAGGTCAGCAGTGTGTCCCTTCAGGGAGAGAGTGTGTATTCCATTACAGACACAGGAACATTTTCATGCATAAGTGACATACACATGTGGAATTCTCAGTTGACTTGGATACTTTTAAGCATGGCAATGGGTTTTCACATGTGTCAGGCATCCAGCTGACCTAAAAGTGGTCTCTAATTGTCCTTACAGCCTCTAATTTATTCTTAATTAGCTCCTTTGAAGGGAGATAAGCATTACTTTTGATGGAACCCTTTCCCGAGTACTGACTGGGCAGCCACAATGAGATTATTAAACTCTGCCAAACATTCATCAAATTTACAATTAACCCCTGGAGCACCACAGCTTGCGAGGTGACTTGTCTGGGTGCTGCCAATGCTCAGGCCAGTTTGAGCTGACGAAAACTAAATTTAGGAAAAGTTCCTTTCAACTTCCAAATTGGTCATGGACTAATCAAATGCTGAGATCTCATCTCGAGCCTCCAACATCAGAAAATTTTCTGGACGTGAAACAGAACGGATCACAAAACAATCACAAGTAACGAAGGATATAATAATAATCCTTGCATTTGATATAGCGCCTTATCACATCTTTGAGACGTCTCAAAGCGCTTCACAGAATATACTACAAAGTCAACTGACTGTATATTTTGTGGGCGAAACACGGCGGTCAATTGCACACAGCAGTGTCCCACAAACAGTCATAGATTGAGTGACCAAGGATGTACCTTTGCAGGATTCCCCCCAGTTCTCTTCTGCCTGTTTCGTTCATGGATGTGTTCAGCAGCTTCTTGTGCAAGTTGACAAGTAGAGTCATACTTCACCAACCTGCAGAAAGCAGGAACGAGGCAATAAAAGACAATGAACATGAATAACATTTTAAGGAAATGCTTCATCGTAAAATGCAAATATCTTAGCAAAAATAAACCTAAATCCCAGCTACCAAATCATATGACACGATGTAAAGAAGCTGTAGTGTGGCACGCTGACAGAAACATTTTAGCTCTGAAATGCATCTCAACAGAGATGCATTAAAAAGACTGCTTCAAGGAAAATGTTTTGACAAAATGTTTTCAAAGCTTGACCTTTCAGGTCAGTTTAGTCAGTGGCACTCTCTCCTCTGGGTCAGAAGGCTGTGGGTTCAAGCCCCAAGTCGGAAATTGAACAGATAGTCTAAGATAATGCAGTGATGTACTATTAATCTTATGTTTGATGTTAAACCATCTCCCAGTACCGTAGTCAAAAGTCCATATTAAATGATCATTCATTTCATCGATCTTTGCTTGTACAATGGTACAAAAAGATTTGCAGCACTTGAAAGCGAATACCAGTGCAGCACTTTAAAAGGCTTTTTTTGAAAAGAGAATATTTCTTGATGCTAGGGATCCTTTAACATTCAGTTGAACTGGAAAATAGACCATGGTTTAAACCAAATAAAGCAGTTATTTGTGATGTACACAGTCACTGAAGTCTTATTATTATATTATAATGTGAATCTTGAGGGCATACTCAACTACAAGAGGATAGTTATTCCAAGATTGAATAAATCAATGGTAAGGTCACAAACCATTTGCTTCAGAGAGCTCAGAAAACAGCGACAGGGATGATTCCAGGGCACTGAGGTCTCTTTGCAAGAGATCTACAGAGCTGTACTTGTTCTGTTACAAAATTGAGGACACATGGCCCAGGTCCTTATATTTTGAAAGTCATGGATTGTGTAGATGGATGCAGGCTGAGTTGATTTGGACTGTGACAGTTAGCCACGGGTTTCAAATTTAAAAAGTTTAATTAGGATTAACAACGCATTGACTTTATTGAGTGGATATGTGGAAGAGACACCCAAACAAAATATTTGACTAATTTCTCCAAAAACAAAATTGAATATCATTTCAGATTTCACTGTTTCACACACAGAGCGCTGGATATGTGGAATACAAGTCAGAGAGAGTCAGTCAAGGCAGATTGTGTCAGCAAATTCAAGCAGTAATCAGACAGTTACTTGGAAAAGACGTTAATTGAGGGGTATCATAAATTAAGAAAAGCTTCTCCAATTTACATAACATTTTTAATTAGTTTGAGATTGGCTACATGGTGTATGTCACATTCTGTATATATGGTTTAAATCAATGTTACACACTGTGTAGAAGGTGCAGGTCTGTTACAACTGTAACAAAAACAATAATAAATTGGTCATTTTCAATCTACGACTTTGTGGGACATTGCTGTGCGCAATTGGCTGCCGCATTCGCCCACAAATATACAGTCAATTCACTTTACAGTGTGTTCTGTGAAGCGCTTTGGGACGTCCTCCAGACGTGAAAAACGCTATATCAAATGCAAGGATTATTATTATTATTATTATAACTGTATATATGGTGGAGGTATACGTTAGCATTGTATATAATGTGCAGGTGAATAGATGTAAATGTGTTGTAAGTTACACTATATATAAGATGTAGGTTACAGTGTATATAAGGTGTAGGTTACAGTGTATATATGGTGTGGGTTACAGTGTATAAGGTGTAGGTTAGTGTGTATAAGGTGTAGGTTATACCGTGTATATAAGGTGTAGGTTACAGTGTGTATAAGGTGTAGGTTACAGTGTGTATATGGTGTAGGTTACAGTGTATATAAGGTGTGGGTTACAGTGTACATAAAGTGTGGGTTACAGCGCTTATAAGGTGTAGGTTAAAGTGTATATAAGGTGTAGGTTACAGTGTGTATAAGGCGTAGGTTATACAGTGTGTAAAAGGTGTAGGTTACAGTGTCTATAAGGTGTAGGTTACAGTGTCTATAAGGTGTAGGTTAGTGTCTATAAGGTGTAGGTTACAGTGTATATACGGTGTAGGTTACAGTGTATATAAGGTGTAGGTTACAGTGTATATAAGGTGTAGGTTACAGTGTATATAAGGTGTGGGTTACAGTGTATATAAGGTGTGGGTTACAGTGTATATAAGGTGTGGGTTACAGTGTAAATAAGGTGTAGGTTACAGTGTGTATAGGGTATAGGTTACAGTGTATATAAGGTGTGGGTTACAGTGTATATAAGGTATGGGTTACAGTGTATATAAGGTGTAGGTTACAGTGTGTATAAGGTGTGGGTTACAGTGTATATAAGGTGTAGGTTACAGTGTATATAAGGTGTAGGTTACAGTGTATATAAGGTGTAGGTTACAGTGTATATAAGGTGTAGGTTACAGTGTATATAAGGTGTAGGTTACAGTGTATATAAGGTGTAGGTTACAGTGTATATAAGGTGTAGGTTACAGTGTATATAAGGTGTATATAAGGTGTAGGTTACAGTGTATATAAGGTGTAGGTTACAGTGTATATAAGGTGTGGTTACAGTGTATATAAGGTGTAGGTTACAGTGTATATAAGGTGTGGTTACAGTGTATATAGGTGTGGGTTACAGTGTATATAAGGTGTAGGTTACAGTGTCTATAAGGTGTAGGTTACAGTGTATATAAGGTGTAGGTTACAGTGTATATGAGGTGTGGGTTACAGTGTATATAAGGTGTAGGTTACAGTGTATATAAGGTGTAGGTTACAGTGTATATAAGGTGTGGGTTACAGTGTATATGAGGTGTGGGTTACAGTGTATATAAGGTGTGGGTTACAGTGTATATGAGGTGTGGGTTACAGTGTATATGAGGTGTAGGTTACAGTGTATATGAGGTGTAGGTTACAGTGTATATGAGGTGTGGGTTACAGTGTATATGAGGTGTGGGTTACAGTGTATATAAGGTGTAGGTTACAGTGTATATGAGGTGTGGGTTACAGTGTATATGAGGTGTAGGTTACAGTGTATATGAGGTGTGGGTTACAGTGTATATGAGGTGTGGGTTACAGTGTATATAAGGTGTGGGTTACAGTGTATATAAGGTGTGGGTTACAGTGTATATAAGGTGTGGGTTACAGTGTATATAAGGTGTAGGTTACAGTGTATATGAGGTGTAGGTTACAGTGTATATAAGGTGTGGGTTACAGTGTATATAAGGTGTAGGTTACAGTGTATATGAGGTGTGGTACAGTGTATATAAGGTGTAGGTTACAGTGTATATGAGGTGTAGGTTACAGTGTATATAAGGTGTGGGTTACAGTGTATATAAGGTGTGGGTTACAGTGTATATAAGGTGTAGGTTACAGTGTATATGAGGTGTGGGTTACAGTGTATATGAGGTGTAGGTCACAGTGTATATAAGGTGTGGGTTACAGTGTATATGAGGTGTGGGTCACAGTGTATATAGGTGTGGTTACAGTGTATATGAGGTGTAGGTTACAGTGTATATGAGGTGTGGGTTACAGTGTATATGAGGTGTGGGTTACAGTGTATATGAGGTGTGGGTTACAGTGTATATGAGGTGTGGGTTACAGTGTATATGAGGTGTAGGTCACAGTGTATATGAGGTGTGGGTTACAGTGTATATGAGGTGTGGGTTACAGTGTATATGAGGTGTGGTTACAGTGTATATGAGGTGTGGGTCACAGTGTATATAAGGTGTGGGTTACAGTGTATATGAGGTGTGGGTTACAGTGTATATGAGGTGTGGGTTACAGTGTATATGAGGTGTGGGTTACAGTGTATATAAGGTGTTGGTTACAGTGTATATGAGGTGTGGGTTACAGTGTATATGAGGTGTGGGTTACAGTGTATATGAGGTGTGGGTTACAGTGTATATGAGGTGTGGGTTACAGTGTATATGAGGTGTGGGTTACAGTGTATATGAGGTGTGGGTCACAGTGTATATGAGGTGTGGGTCACAGTGTATATGAGGTGTAGGTTACAGTGTATATGAGGTGTGGGTCACAGTGTATGTCGGTGTGAGGGCCGCTCGGCTCCCGCTGCCTCGGGGGCTGTTCGGGACCGTGTTACCGGAGGCCTTGTCGGGCCCTCCGCCCCCGGCAGCCGCCGGTCCTCTCACCAGCCGTCCCGCGCCATCGCCTTCCCGCCCCTCGTCCGCCGCCACCACCTCCGGCCGCCGCCGCCTTCCGGGTTGTGTCCGACACCGAAGCTCCGCCCGGAGCCGCGACCATTGGTTCCGGCCGCGGCTGTCTGTCTGGGGCCTGACTGCGCATGCGCCGACGCTCCTCTCTCCCCCCCCTCGGATCGGGCGTTCTTTCCGCGCCCAATCGGGCGGGTTTCACGCCCAAATGGGCGGATTCGAGCCGAATTGGGCGAGTTTTTTTTTTCCTTGTCCTGTGCGTTTTTCTCAATATATATGTATGTATATATATATATATATATATATATGTCTAGAATTTAAAGCTGCAAAAAGCTTGTTTTCTCCCCTGTTTCTTTTTAAAGGAAAAAAAAACCGCCTTTCTTCTTTTTTCTCTGACGCAGCTCCGAAGGCGCTCGTCCCAAATTTGACGGCTCTGTGTGTCGGTCATTTGGAGGAGATGCGGAAGATTGGGGCTCGTGTTTGGTTTGGCACAAACTGGGGGTACTGGGGTGGGGGTGCGGTTGCGGAGTGGGGGGTGGGGGCGGCGTGAGCTCCGCTGCATTGTCAGAGTTGCCATCCCTCGGTGGTTAGAGCACTCGCTTTGCAAGTGAGAGACCTGAGTTCAATTCCAGGCAGAGGGCCAAACCTTGGGCAAGTTTCCTTACTCCACACAGAGCCTAATAATAATCCCTCCAAAACAAAAACAATAATAAATTGGTCATTTTCAATCCACGACTGTTTGTGGGACATTGCTGTGCGCAATTGGCTGCCGCGTTCGCCCACAAATATACAGTCAATTCACTTTACAGTGTGTTCTGTGAAGCGCTTTGGGACGTCCTCCCGACGTGAAAACGCTATATCAAATGCAAGGATTATTATTATTAGTCGTATTATTATTATTGAGAAGGTTTCTGACCGTCTGCTTTGTGCAGGTGGACGTCACCAGTCGCGCGACTCTACCGGAAAATAGTAGAGCCTCAGGGCCAACCGACTGCTATGCCTCATTGGTCCTTCGTCGCAGGGCTTCTCAGTGGGACTTGCTTCGCTCGGATTGTCTGCCGTACTTGGCCGCGGACACGCAGTCGACGCACTTGGCGCCAATTGCCTGTGACGCATTTCTGTGGCACTCGAACCCAGGTCCTCTCGCCCGGAAGGCAAGTGCTCTAACCACTGAGCTGCGGGACTCCACGCTCATGAGTAACGAAGGAGACAACAATAATAATCCTCGCATTTGATGTAGTGCTTTAGCACGTCTTCGAGACACCTCAAAGCATTTCACAGAATATACTGTCAAGTGAATTGACTGTATTTTTTATGGGCGCAACATAATGCACAGAGGTCAGTCAGCAGTCAGTCTACCTAAACCTTCTTGATGGAAACCCTCACGGAACTTAAATGTCTCTGTAGTTTACTTTAGAAAAGATGAATGGATCATCACAAAGTGTTGGAGAAATTTAACAGACACTGGAGTATATTTTACCACAATGGAAACAAGTGTGTGACCCAATGAGTAACTTATTTGGAAAAGATGAATAGTCCTCTGTCCAAAATTTGTTCATGCAAGCTTCCTACCAACTCCACTGTGAAACAGTAAATTATCCATTTTGATTAATTTCATCCTAGAACCAGGTCCGTATTCAAAATTAAAGTTGGTGAAAATCTGGACAGAAACCGACAAGGCTGGATATGTCAATAGATGTGATTTTCCCCAGGAAAGAATGTTAAACAAAATCCAATTCACAATATAAAACTACATCCAATGGAGTGCTGTAGCTCAGTGGTTAGAGCGCTCGCCTCGCAAGCGAGAGATCCGGGTTTGATTCCCGGCAGGGCAAAGTGGTGAGCAAGTTTCCTTACTCCACACGCCTCTGTTTACTTAGCAGTAAGTGCGAACCTGGTTGTTGGTCGATTGGCAGATCGCTTTTCCGGGGGTAATAATTCCTTCAAAAAAAAATTTATCCCTCAATTCATGACAGTTTGTGGGACACTGCTATGTGCAATTAGCTGCCACGTTTCACCCACAATATTTACAGGCAATTCACTTCAGAGTATATTCTGTGAAGCGCTTTGAGACGTCTCAAAGATGTGATAAGGTACTATATCAAATCCAAGGATTATTATTATTATTATTATTATCACCTTTTAAATGATTAAAATGTAGATTACAAGAGATTGCAAGGATTATCATTTAATGGGTGACCAGCCTCATCAGATATTAACAGTCCCAACAATTAAAATATGGAGCAATCAGATATGATATTCTACTGGAGTAATGTCAAATATTCATAATATTCATAACATAACATTTTGGTTGATGGTTTTTAAATTGTGAACATGAACTAAACCTGAATTGTCATTGAAACTACGTCATTAGTAAGTACACATTACAATCCATGACTGTTTGGCTGCCACTTTTCTCCCACAAATATACAGTGCAATTGGCTGCCACTTTTCTCCCACAAATATACAGTCAATTCTCTTTACAGTATATTCTGTGAAGCGCTTTGAAACGTCTCGAAGATGTGAAAAGTGCTACATCAAATGCAAGAATTATTATTATTATAATTATGATTCTTTTTCTTTAAAATTGATCCATTTTAGTGTTTCAAAATCAGAATTCCCCCAAAACAAATGACAAAGATTAATAAGTTCCTTTGTCAGTAATATTTTTTTAAAATCAAAAATTTTGATTACAAACTGTACAGCGACTACACTTCACAGTAAATCCTATGAAGCCCTTTGAGATATCCTCCTGACATGAAAGGCACTATACTCCAGTACCTCATAGTTATGGAATGTAATGGCTGTTAACTTTCCAATTGTTTTAGAGTGATAAGTTTTAAAAAGAGTTATGCCAGAAACCTATTTCTTTGTTTTTGCAATTGATACGATCATTCAGTTGGCATGTTGTGTGGATGTATTTATTACCACAATAAATTTGTACAAAGCAAACACTTCAAAGTCGATCGTCAGACAAAGCAAAGGTGAATAATTTGAAAGTGCATCGAAAACATGCTTACTTATTCCTGGCTGTAGAACAAAGTGCATTTGCTTGAGACAAGATACGCCTGTCTGCGCACAATTCCCAGGTACAGAGAAACCTCCTGAAAAATAGCAGCATTTACCCCCATTAAATTTTGTTACCAATTCCAAATGGTGAATGTGTGTGAGAGGAAATAATACTATAATAATAACAATATAATAATACTTGCATTTGATAGAGCATTGTATCACGTCTTTGAGACGTTTCAAAGCACTTCACAGAATATACTGTAAAGTGAATTGACTGTATATTTTGTGGGCAAAACGCAGCAGCCAATTGCGCACAGCAGCGTCCCACAAACAGTCCTGCGATTCTAATCTAGGATTAATTCAATTATTCATTATATATTCGCTTTCAAATAGGACCCTAAGTTTTGACCCTTATAATTTCTCAGCAACTTTTTTCACACACTTGATATAAAACTAAAGCAACCTGAATTATCCCAGTGAAACTTGTTTCTTTAAATACTTGGGACCAATAAGTCTTGCTTGCTTTAAACTAAATGTTCGGAGACACCGCCCTTGTGAAGAGCACAGTGTAAATGCAAGTTGTTGTTGCTTTGATCATTGACAAGAACAAGTTGCATTTTCTTTTAACCTTTAACAATAGGTTGAGATTATTAAAAACCGAAGCAATTTGTATTATGATATTGCAGAATGCTTCAACTACTACCTCACTGCGTCTTTAACAATTGACCAACACAGCACTGCCAAACCATGAATTGCAACCGTTCCCATAAGGATTTCCTGAAACTGGGAATAAGATTTCTTGTGTTGCAGTCTGAATGCTCCAGGCAGTTGTGTGTGGGTGTGCGTGTGTGTGAGAGAAACAGAGGCTTAGTTGAAGTTCTTAAAAAGGATGCATTTAATAAACCTTTAGCAAAAATATGATTGTTGGCAAGCGCTTATAAAGTGGCATGTGTGATGTGCTCATTTCCCCCCTCCTCCTCCTCCCCCTTTAAACCCTGTTATTATAAGAGGATACGGCTTTGCCTGGAACACATTGTCCAGTTTCGCTTTGTAAACTTGTACCACTTGATCCGTTTGGCTGATGTTCGTTTCCATAAGCAATCTGCGCATTGCAACCTGATGCTGTTTTGTGTTTTTTTTTTGGGGGGGGTGGGAGTTCCTTTCCCATCCCTGCCACACAGACGTTTATTTTTTTCTCTCTCTTTTTCTCTTTCTCTCTCTGGTTGGAAGGCGAACCTGCTGTTGGGGGAGTGGCTCGTCATCACCGAGGCAATGAAATGAAATGAACAGAAAGTTTTCTGAAAGTGCTTTTTTTTTTTGGAAGCAGTTGGGACCAGGTCATCACGTCTCTGCGATCAGCCGGTGCCTCATTGCCAACTCGCCAGAGTAAGCGACAGCAACAGTAATTAGCAGTAAAGCAGGAAACAAGCAAACAAAACAAACCAAAGAAAGATGTTGGAACAGAGTGGTTGTACTGGTGTCCTAGACATGCACAGCCCCAGCAAAGAGGAAGAATTGGACCACTTACAGTCTGACAGCTCTGAGAAGCCTACAGATGCAACTCCAGGTACATTTATTCCATTGTTTGGTCACCACCACCACCACAACAACACCACCACCACCACCAACAACAGATGCTTTCACAAGGGAATTGGAGAAGTTACTTAAAAAAGAAAACTATTGCAGGGATATCGGGGTAAGAGCGGGGGGAGTGGGATTGGTTGGATAGCTGACACAAGGCACGATGAGCCAAACGGCCTCCTTGTCTGCTGTAGGATTCTATGATAACAACAACAAATGGCATTTGGTGTAGCGCCTTTCACGTTGGGCGGATGTCCCAAGGCGCTCTATTGAGATGCACATTGAGAATTCCACCCAGGGTCTGGATTGACTCTGATTTAACGCAGCATTTCTGAGAGCCCAGAAATGTGTCCGGTTGCAAAATTCACTCAGCCCCAACCTTGAAGCCGGTTTGCTGTATGTAGATCTTGGAAGAAACTTACAGAAAAACAGTTTTGAAAATTAAGGCTGCATGTGGAGTCCTGTATCTCAGTGGTTAGAGCACTCGCCTCGCAAACGAGAGGACCTGGGTTTGATTCCCGGCAGGGCAAAACATTGGGCAAGTTTCCTTACTCCACACGCCTCGGTTTACCTAGCAGTAAGTAACAACCTGTATATTAGCCGATTGGCAGATCACTTTTCCAGGGGCAATAACCCTTTAAAAAAAATTAATAATTTGGTCGCTCAATCCACGACTGTTTGTGGAACGCTGCTGTGCACAATTGGCTGCCACATTTCGCCCACAAAATATACAGTCAATTCACTTTACAATATATTTTGTGAAGCGCTTTGAGACGTCTCAAAGACATGATAAAGCGTTATATCAGATGCAAAGATTATTATTATTATCTGTGAGCCATTGGTTGAGGAGATGTCTTGTACTGTATTGTACTGTTTAGCACTTGACTTCACTAGCGCTGCTCCTTTGTGCGGAAATCTGGCCAGATTTAACTCAGCAAATGTTTGGAAACGGAGTCAAATCCTGCCTGATTTGCTTGCTCCAAGCAATCACCAAAATAGCGAGCGTCATGAGGCTATTCAACATCACAAACATCACAATGCAGCTTAACCTTCATGTCCAAACACACTTTCCAGCAGAGGGAACTAGGTAGCAATCACGAGTGGAAAAACTGACTGATTTTCACGCGGTAGGTCCAGAAGCGTTAAGTTAAATTGTACGACCCAAACTGCTGCCCCTGCTGAAAATACATATTTAATAATATGAACCAAACCTCTGAGCTTCTGGTCTGTATGAATCAGTGCTGTATTATCATATAATATAAAACATTTTATTTTATTTCCTATAGCACCTTTTGCATTGGGAGGACTTCTCAAAGCACTTTACTGCAAAGTGTAGTGACTGTGTATTTGTAAGTGAATGTAGCAGCCAGTTTGCATATAGCAATGTCGCAAAACAGCCATGAGGTGAATGATCAGTTTCATCTGAGGGATTGTTGGTGAGGACAACGGGAAAAACTCCCCCTCTTTTCAATTCGTAAAATGGGAGTTTTAACGTTTATCTGAACACGGCAGTGCCTTTATCTCCTTGTCATTGGGTAGAGAGTACTTAGAATGTAATCCAACACCAAGAAAGGAAGCTAATCTTAAATTACAGACTTCTCTCTCACTGCAGAACATTTCCAAAAACATATTACACATTTTTATGCAGATTCTTTGTTTTTTCCCCTAAAAAGTAAATATTAAAATCATAAATTGTATCATCTGAGGTACATAAAATCATGTATCCCAGTATAATATAAGCCTTTATGAGATAATTTAGCCCAGTAGCATGAATGCTGTACATTTTGTTTTGTATAGTTAACTACATACAATAAAAAAATGTTTTCAAAAGACAAAATACCAAACGTTATTGGTGGTGTGCTGTCTCTTAATGGTGGTGACAAAGGTGAGGTGAAACTAACAGGTGAAGAAAATACAGGAATGTTGTGCAGATATTTTGTTATATTTGCCCACAAATATACAGTCAATTCAATTCACTTTACAGCATATTCTGTGAAGCGCTTTGAAGATGTGAAAGAAGATGTCTAGAAGACGTGAAAAAGCTCTATATCAAAAATGCAAGAATTATTATTATTATTATTATTTTCAACAAGCATTTGGTGCGCTGATTTGAGGGCTGCATTGCAGGGAAATTAATTTGTTTCTTTTTCATCCTTACATTTGAGATAGCACCTTGTCACGCCATTAAAATGTCTCAAAGCACTTCACATGATTTACCGTAGAATGTAGTTATTGTATAGCTGTAGGTGAACTCAGAAACCAATTTGCACACAACAACTTGTGACAAACAGTCATGAAGTGAATGATAGCATTAACCAGGTAATGTAGAGTCCACACTTGATATTTAGAGATGTAAAGAAAAACTAAGGTTAAAAAACGTACATATAATAGGAATTTTAGGAAGTAGAATACTTCAGCACAAGTGACCATTGAAGCGAAATCTGTTACATCATTTATAAGTGAATTCGACAGATAATTGAAAAATCGAACAATAGAATAGTTTGAGGATAATAAAGGAAAATGGGATGAGAGTAGACAAGAAAGAACCATAACCACAAAGAACCATACGTTGTACCCATTTAGATTGGTTTATACAGAAACCTTAATAAAGTTCCCAGAGGAAACAATCATCCCATTGGCATCTCTTATCTCCAGCCCGAAAGTCCACACACAATTGCACAATTGTCAGGCTTTTTAAAACATAGTCTCCCAAAACACACAGTCACTGCACGTTACAGTAAATCTCGTGAAGCGCTTTGAGACATCCTCCCGACGTGAAAAACGCTGTATCAAATGCAATATTGAGCGTTATTCACTTTAAACAAACAGATATTTGTATTTGAAACCTCTGTTGAAACCTTAGATCAGAGAGAAATATCCATTTTATAGTAGAATGACGAAAGCGGGTCAGGTTAAAGGGCAATGTTCAAAACAAGGCAATGTCCAATGTACTGCAAAGAGAACCGTGAGCACCAGCCAGAGGCTGTGAACTCGTTAAGTGCAACCTTTGGAATATCTTAAGAGTATTTAAGTATGGCTTCACATGGGTCAAAATAATTTGGCAGTAACGCACAAGGCGTGTCAGTATTAATGGTTCATAAAATGCAGTGTAATAAGTTTGGATTCAGAGGCTTTTTCGAGTAATGGCATGAATCACAAAGGAATATCTGTTTAATAACTAACGTTATTCACTGCATCCAGAACAGGCTGTGATCTGGCCAACATTTGGCCTTTATCAAAAAGCCCATTGTGATAAGCTGCTGTATCAGTATTCTATGTCAGCCACATCCACATGCAGAAGCACCCCAGGGAGCTGGGTACTATTGTACTCCTACGTTCTCTCATATATTTGCAGTCGTGATTCCTTCATTACTAATAAATAATAAAATGGTCACTCAATCCACAACTGTTTGTGGGGACGCTGCTGCGCGCAATTGGCTGCTGCGTTTCGCCCACAAAATATACAGTCAATTCTCTTTACAGTAGATTCTGTGAAGCGCTTTGAGACGTCTCGAAGACGTGATAAGGTGCTATATCAAATGCAAGAATTATTATTATTATATTCCCCCAAGCACCCAATTCTCTTACTTTAATGCTCACCAAAATGAGAGATGCTCGTTTCAGAGAAAGGAACTCTTTCCCACTTGCTGACAGGTCTGGTCTAATCCTGTCATCGATCAATTACTGTGTTTCTAAATCTGCTTGTGGCTTGTTTTGCAGGTGAACCCCACAATTTTCCTGAAGTGCCTTTGCTCCTCATTACAGACGATGAAAACTGGGGTGAAAGTAACGTAAACGACAAAGGCGATGGGCATTTTGTGGACTGGGATAGAATACTTGACCCGGGCACATCACCTAATACTTGCAGGAATGTGACATTGAAGAGCTACAAAGAGCTCAAGTACATGGCCAGGCACGGGGAGTGGGCTGGAAACCACAAAGCAAGAGCTACGGCTTACAATCATATCATCAAAAAAGTCCATTGCCGAACTGTTACACCGGATGCTGAAGTCTACAGAAATATTGTTGGCAAAATATTTGGGCAATCGAATGCTACCTCTCAGCTTCTACCTGACTTTGTGGAGGGCTGCAATATGCCAACCTACTTTCTCAACGCAGAAGGCAAGATCGCAGTGAAGAAGATTCTGATCTGCATTGCTGACCAGTTTCCTGACATTACCTACTCCCCAATTCTGCCTGCCATAGTTGCCCTGTTGCTGCACTACAGCACAGACGAGGCGGAGTGTTTCGAGAACGTCTTCAGGCTTCTTGCTTGCAACGATCCCAAGAAGCGATTCATTGATCAAACCTTCCTCACCCACGAGTCGTCTTGCATGACCTTCGGCGATCTGGCAAGCAAGTACTGCCAAGCTTCTCACAAACTGATTGCAACACAATCTCGCAACGCCTTTGAGATCTACTCCGACTGGCTGATGTGGATTTTTGGGGACCTCCCATTTAAGTACGCCATTCGTGTTCTCGATGTCTTCCTACTTGAAGGTTACAAAGCACTTTATCGCATTGGTCTCGCCTTATTAAAGCAATATAAGCTCTCGTTGACCTCCAAAGAGGTTGAGATTCATGACGTCCAGCTGGACTTGCAGCTTTTCATGACAAACATTTCGCAGTACACCACCGTGGACCAGGTCCTAGAGAAAGCTTTCAGCATCAGACTCTTGTCTTGCAAAGAAATTCATCTTCTGCAGCTGGCAAACAAGAAAGCTTTGGCACAGAAAGGCACTGGAATGCAACAGAAGAGGTGAGCAACCACATGATAGTTCTTCTGTCATCCACGCGTTACTGTCATCAGTTATTCCCCAATTGTTTTTCCACGAAACAGCCATGATTATAAGGTGACAATGGAATAATGCATGTGGTAATAATAATAAATTATAATGCTTCCATTTGATATCGTGCCTTTCACTTCAGGAAGACGTTCCAAAGTGCTTCACAGCATTCACTATGAAGTGGAGTGACTGTGTAATTGTGGGCAAACATATCCTAGCATTAATAAAGTGCTCTGGGACGCTACCCTGTGTGAGGGGCGCTATAGAAATGCAAGTTGTTGTAATAATATCAATCCTTGCTTTCCAAATAGCGCCCTTCATATCAAGAAGAAGGCTCAAAATGCTTCACAAGATTCACTGCAAAGCGTAGTGACTGTGTATTTTCTTACTGAATACTTTCAAGAGGTCGAAGTTGAAATTCAGCAACACGTTGACATGGCGACAGAAGAGCAATGAAGGACTTGCCTGGTTTCTCAGCAGAGAAGATGGAGTGCGGCAGTGCGTAGGAGCCACTAGAATGGCAGAAAAATTAATCAAATTGTGGCATGTTGGTTAACATGGACACCCACGTAAAAATATTCCACCGCTTTTATATTTTTCTTTTTCCCCTCTCAGACCGAATACCTACTTGGCCGTAGACATGTTGAATTTCCAGTCGAGTATTGTAACTGCTCAGGAGATGCGGATTGTGTGGTCGTGGATCCCGGAACGCTTTGCATTGTTCCAACCACTTTTATTGTTTACTACCCTGGAACATGGATACAGTCTGCAAAGGTAAGAATTCATTAACGGAAGAACATGTTCATGGACTGCGCGCTGTAGAAAGATTATTCATTCATTCAATCTCTTTGAGATGCCCTCCCAATGTGAAAGGCGCTGCATAAATGTAAATTGTATTTGGTGTTTGCTGTATATTCACTTGAAAGAACTAACTAATTAGAAACACCTTTGGTAACCTTTATCCTCAATCAAGTATCAACTACAAGATGCTTCTGCTTTACATTCCTCTACACATATAGAGGCACCTACTTTATTTCCATGGCCTCCCCCCACCTTCCCCGGTACCTATCCCTGACTAGTGTTGAGGTTTCCTATCAACACAGGAATGATGCTGGTCCCTGTATCATCTTTGCGACGGACCCCACCTCCGCCTTCGTGCCATCTTTAGCTCACAAAATACAGAGTCAATTCACTTTACCGTATATTCTGCGAAGCGCTTTGAGACGTCTCGAAGACGTGATGAGGCACAAAATCAAAATGCAAGGATTATTATTATCATTATTATCTTGCCGTGGCAATGGACGAGATCAGATTGTTCCCCCACACCACTGATGGGAGTTCGATCATTTAGCCCAAACTATCACTCCTGCCTGAGGCTGCTAAAACCACACCCAGTCTTTCAGACATTATTACCAACTGATTGTTCAGTTCTGTTAATTATTGCTGCGCTGATTGATTCCTAAGTATTTTAATTGTTACATGGAACATTCTGTTCCACTGAAGGCACTGGCCTGTCTGGTGAATTTATGCTTCTTGTTTTAAGGCTAAGGTTGACCAGCTGGCATCATTCTCTCTCTTAGGAACAAGTGGATTTGGCTGCCTGCCAGATAACATGCAGGGCAATAGACTTTTGTTTTAAATGTAAGTTTTTATTATGATCAATTCAAACAATCGGCATGTGGTAACTACCTCCAAACCTCCAAAGAGGGAATAAGGCGCTATATCAAATGCAAGGATTATTTATATAACCTTAATATTATATAACCTTTTGCCTAACATTCTGACCGAAGATTTCAGGTTTGCTATTTCATCTTTTAAAAGAGGTTGATGGTTTCTCTCCTTCCACCTTACTAACACGAGCTCTTAACATATTCTCTCACCTTTCCTATCAAGGTAAGGATGGTTACAGTCTGTTCATGTTCCCTCCATTCATTCTAACTTCCCACGTTGATCAAGTATCTCTGCTCCACGTGTCCTCATGTGGTGTTACTGTCCAGATAATATGTTCAATGTTTTTTATCCTTGATATTGACATCTTCTCCCCAAGGTTTCCACAATATCTTAATATCTATTACCCTGCAAAGAATTTCAAGTAACATATACTATGTTATGAAGTAAATCAAATATATGTTACTTTCATTCACCCACCTTGACTATTTGCACTACTACTAATAATAATACTTGCAGTTGATCCTTGGAAAATCAAGAACAAAATTGTGAAAATTATTATAACATATTTCTACATATATGAAAGTAATGGACAACTAATATTAACTGTATTCCTCTCCTCTTGTATCTGATCCAGTAATTATCAAATTACTACCACTAGGTGATGCACTTGTTGCGTGAGTTAAAAATGCACAGAAATGTTTGAACACTTCGCTGTATATTAGTGATTACCTCCAGAGTACTCAGAGAAATCCAATTAGCTCAGGGGCAGATTTCTAATTTATAAGAAAATGGTCCTGTGCAACACCTTCCAAATAACAGCTATGACAATGCAGGATGTTGGATTTGTTTTTTTTTAAAAATACAGTGTGATGCTGTGATGGAGAAAGTGATAGGGTGAGTATTCTGAAAGGAGGTCAGATGTGCCGAGGGACTTTTTTTGTCTGAACCTTTCTTGTGATCTTGTGAAAGGGAGGCAGGATTTAAAGACGTTTTCATCAGTAATTTCTCAGATAATAAAACAACTCTTGGACTTGATGTAGCCACAGGAGTCCTGTTTACCTAGCAATAAGAAGGAACCCGATTAATAGTCGATTTGTGGATCGCTTTTCTGAGGATAATAATCCCTGAAAAAAAATGTTTGCTCATGCAATCCATGACTGTTTGTGGGACACTGCTCTGCACAATTGGCTGCCACGTTTCGCCCACAAATATACAGTCAATTCACATTACAATACATTCTGTGAAGTGCTTTGACACATCTAGACGACGTGATAAGGCGCTACATCAAAGGCAAGGATTATTATTATTCTCATGTCCAAATGTGTCAAAGTACAAGATTTTCTGGGAAACAAAGTTTGACATTGTTGGTGAATGCAGCAGCCAATTTGTACACAGCAATGCCCCACAAACAGCCTTGAGGCGAATAATCTTTTTATATCTGGGGAATTATTGGCTCAAAAGAAACATGACTTTCTTCTTGAATTGCAGCTGGACATGTAGTTTCAGGTTAATGTCTCATCTAAAGGACAGCACCTTTAATAATAATGAATAATAAACCGTGCGTTTGATATAGCTCCTTATCACGTCTCAAAGCGCTTCACAGAATATACTGTCAAGTGAATTGACTGTATATTTTTGTGGGAGAACCATGGTCCCTGAACCCACTTCTGACCCAGAAGCAAGAATCCTACCAACTGAGCCACAGTGACTAACAAACCTCTCATCCAAAGCTCTCCTGTGATCTTGATCTTGTGTTTGAACAGATATCTGTAACTAAACAATCAAAGGAATATAGGGAAAGCTTTGCTAGATCTTTACCCATTGGCCCTGCTAAGTATACACAGTGTAATGTATGATCATAAGACTGCAAATTTAACCTCAAGAGTTGTTCACATTCATTACGCATGACCTAAATATAGTATAGATTTATGAATTAAGTTCATAAATAATTTTAACAGCACATAAAACTGCAGCTACAGTTTGTAATGATGCCACAGTGAGACAGAGGCTGACTGAGAGCCTGAAATCAAAAGATTATAAGAGGATCCCAGATGTTACCCCACCCACGTCATTCTTTTTTATTGGTTCCTCAAGATAAGATTTATATCTCTAACTGATTCATTCCCATGCATCAATGTGCACATCTTCCTTCCAGCATGGATAACATTTTGGTCAATTGGATATATATTACTATTTTGAAATCCTTTATAGGTGCAAAAGCGTCATTATATTTTAATAGTAATAATTATTAATATTACCTATTATCATTACTAATTGCATTTGAATTCATGTCATCAAAACGTCTTAAAGAGCTTGAAAGATTTACTGTAAACAACAACAAGATTACATTTGTGTAGAGCCTTTCACGTCGGGAGGAAGTCCCAAGGTGCTGGACAGAGTATAGCATTCCAGACCTAAGCTGGGGGTCAGGGGGGGAAAAGGGAGGGGAAGAGGTGTCGCCGATGGCATGATCAAAGAGGAGGGTCTGGAGGCAGGAGTGAAGGAGGCTAAGGAGGGGGCAAGGCGGATGGCTGGGGGATGGAATTCCAGATTAAAGTGCAGTGACTACATTTTGTAGGCGAATGAAACAACCAATTTGCACACATCAATGTCTCACGAGCAGCCATGAAGTGAATGCCAAATTTTATCCTGAGGATTGTTGGCCAAGAGATGGGTGGAAACATCGTTCTCCCTTTTGGATTTATGTAACTTCTCAACGCTGTATCTACAGACCAGTGAATTTCCTGCTAACTGAAGCATGTCTAATTGTATAACTGTTCCTTCCTGTCATGAGGCTGCCTGACAGATTTCCATTTCTTGAAACATTTCCCAATCACATCAGACAGAGTCATACGGAGAAGCCTTTGTTTTCGCTTCAAACATTTCGCCCACAATACAAACAGTCAATTCACTTTCCGTTATATCCTGTGATATCCTTTGAGACGTCTCGAAGACGTGATAAGTGGCTATATCAAACGCAAGGATTATTATTATTATATTATTATGTTATAAGCCTGGCAGCCTGGGCAGAGGATCAGTGTCGGAATGACGAAACGTGGTTGCCGAGGAGAAAATAGAAGAAAAAAAAGTAGAAACGGAAAAAAGGAAACTAAAAGCTGAAGTGGCAACAACGGTAAAACTCAGCTGGAAATCGACGAAATAACACAGGCAAAAGTCCAAAAGGCTAACCTCAAATTGCGATGTTCATCGTCTCCCCCTCCCCCCCCCAAAAAATACTACAATTTGATCTCTTTTACCCGACTGTTGACAGAATAAAACATTCAGACTTTGGTGACATGGTTTACACTGCAAGAGGAACCTCACACTACTGTATTGCTTCCTATCAGAACTAATCAGCACTTCCTTTCCAGTGCAACAAGTATACAAGTCAACATACTTATTGGTTCTCTGTAGTTGTCATTTTTCTTGAACAAAATCCTCTTTATTGTTGTATATATACCACATTTTTAAACATTGGGGCTTGTATCTTGAATAACTTGCTACCTTTGTGATAGATTGATGCATTTAGAATCATAGAAACAGAATATTACAGCACAGAAGGAGGCCATTCGGCCCATCGTACCTGTGCCAGCTCTTTGGAAGATCAAGCTAATCAGTCCCACTCCCTCGCTCTTTCCCCATATCCCTGCAAATTTCGATTACCTAATTCCCTTTTGAAAGTTGTTATCGTATCTGTTTCCACCATTTATTTTGTAATTTTTCACAGGTTTTATTCTCATTGTGAGGGATACGAGCCAACAGTTTTACTGTTTAAAACAACGAAAGGAGAGGTAAGCATCTTTGGACAACCGTGTCATAAAGGGCAGTAAAAAGGGCAGATACAGTAAAAACAGAACTTGTGTATTTCATCTTGACGACTTCAACAGTGCTGATTTTGTTTTGCATATTAATAATAATAATCCTTGCATTTAATATAGCGCTTTTCACGTCTTCTAGACATCTCAAAGCGCTACACAGAATATGCTGTAAAGTGAATTGACTGTATATTTGTGGGCGAATATAGGGCAAATATAGCAGTTTGCCCTATGTGCATTTCAGCATAAATCCTGCCTAGATTTGCAATTTGGTTTCTTGTGGCGATAAGGCACAGGCCGTAGGGGTGAAAGAATGCTGCAGACTGATCCAATCTTGGGAAAGCAAACATGATGTAATCCAAAAACAAACTACAGAGCCAAGTCTTTGGGTCAGAGAGTTTGAGGAGGCCATAAATCACACGACAAGGCAGGATTCCCTGGAGCGCGAAACTTCCTCTGGGAGGCAATTTAATTTGCTGGCTTTGTTGCCATAGGAATCAGTGTGTAAACGTGAGACAATTTTAATAATCTGCTTTCTACAATTAAAGCCCCAAATAAACATAATCTGCCAGCTTCCAATAGTATAAATTTCTCAATTGGCAAATACTTTTTTGGCTTATTACTACTCCTTCCGTAACATATGTTCAGGGACAAGATATAATGCAGTCGTGCAAAAAGGTGGGTGTTTTGTTGATTGAAATTTGGCTACAAATTGTTTTAAAAAACAGTGTTGAGTAAAGTATGCTGTTTCTCTGAAGTAAGGCAACAATATTAACCATTGTTACTGAAAACTGGGGACCAAGCGCAAATGAAGATAGCAGAAGACTTGAAGTCAATAAAGTTTGGTAATATAAATAATTGCAAAACCACGCAACAGCAAATAGCTATCTATACAGCGCCTTTCACTTCAGAAGGATTCTTGTGGCCACTATATGCAGACTCCCTGACACAAGCCTGGAAGAAATTTGCCTTCATATAATCTAAATGAATTTTGGTGGCTCATTGAGACCAGAGCAGAGGAGAGCAGAGGAACGTAATACATAGCTTTAAAAAAACTCACATCTGAACACAAATCCTGGCCATTATTCATGACAAACCAAACAGTATTTGCGATCCTTGCATTTGATAGAGTGCACATCTTCGAGATGTCTCAAAATGCTTCACAGAATATACTGTAAAGTGAATTGCCTGTATTTGCCAAAATTCTACAGAAAAAAGGCTACATTTATTGAATAAAATTGGCTTGTGTAGGTATGTGTTCGGTTCCATCTCCCAGTCCTAACGGTTGTGTTAAAATGATTTCCATTTCTGTCAAACTACAATATTAATGTTGGGTTATCAGCCTTGGGGCATCTAGACACCTGGGAAAGAAAGGTGGCAAAGCCTTTCTCATTTAAGTACATTTAAAATTTATTTCAGATTTGTGGTGCGTTTCTAACATCTGACTGGAATGAAAGAAGGAGAGAGAATGGACGAGGCACTAATTTCTTTGGGACGGGAGAATGCTTCGTATTTAATGTAAGTTCCTGGGGGAGAACAAAAAGTCATAAGAACTGTGCATTGCTAGGCATGTTTGTTCTTTCGGTCTTTGTTTCGAGCAGTAATGTTTTACATAGGAAATTAGCCAGGCAACTGAATAAACAAGAAGACAATCATCTCGGATGGATAGCGCCAGATAGGGCATGAGCTGGCAGGGATGCTATTAGCACGAGTGGTTAAATAACAATAGGGAATTAAAGGATACAAAGGAAAATAGAAGAGAATGACCTAAAAGGATCTGCTGCTGATTTTTAAAGAGATTTTTCACTGGAGTGCAGCAGCCATCTAGTGTATCTTTTTACACACACACACATATATATATATATATTATATACATATTTTCAATTGTCATTAGTGTTGAATTAACACAATGTGATTTCACCATCATTATTAATTAGTCGGATGAGTATTCCTTGCACAAGGAGCACTTCCTGCATGCTACACATGCCAGCACAAAAGAAATGATGTTGACATTGATATGATGCCTGGAAGTTCAGCTATTTTGATTTCCCCATGTAAACTGGGAGTATAGTGCTGGTTGGGATTTTCGAAACCCCAGCCATCACATCATAATTGGGATTCGCTATATCTCTAAGTGGTCTATAGACAGCTACTTTAATCACTTTCTTTCAAAAAAAATAATATTTCAGTTATGTTTTTAAAGACGCCTGTCAAAACATGTGGTGTAATACAGTAAAAAAATGTACCGGATCATTTAAAATGAGTTTGCGTCCAAATGAGACATTTGTTTTTCAGTTACGCCCCGAAACCAATCGTTACGAGTGGGTGATAGTTAAACATCCCAAGATAACCAAGGCTGCCCATTCGTCTCTTTGCTCCCGCTCACCCTCAGTAACTTCTTCCCGATTCTCTCGCTCTCCACCTTGGTCGCAGTCTCCAGGTTCTCCCCGCCGGTTCTCGTCTCCAGTACTTTGCTCAGCCTCTGACCCGACCCCAGAACAGAATTCCAATTATCTGACTGTTCCGACTGTAATGACGACTGAACGTCTTTCTCCATTCCTCGCACTCCGATGCTTCAAACGACCTTCGAAAACTGCCTCCATGTTCATGGCAGGAACTAATAAATCAATAATTATCGGTAAGGAACTTTAATGATTGGTACCTTAATCCCTTCATCCAAGTTTGAGCAAATACTTCCAGAGTGGCGTTAATTGGCAGGCTACAGCGCTGGTTTGTTGAATTAGTGCCTGAGGCCATTATTCTTCAGTCAGAAACCATTCTTAAGTAGATTGTCGATAAATTAAGCACACAAAGTTCTTTATTTCCTGATGCAGGGCAACACTCTTAGAACACTTTCTGTATGTCTAAGCTGTTACAGTTGCACAACTCTTTAAACTAATCAGCTCATGAAATTGATCATTTACAAAGAGGATATTGCCAATGTGAATTAAGAGCAATTGTTCCTTACACATTCCGCAGGAGGTGGAAATGGCCAAGCATTAAACATAGATGCTGACTTGCACCATGGGAGAACGCAGCGCTGTGACACTTTTGAAAATCCACCCCTCTGTTCAGAGAACTTTCAGATCCAGTTTTTGGAGGTGTGGAGCCTCCAGAATTGACCGACCCTGTGCCAAGGAGGAGTAAAACATCAGGTGTTTGAACACCACTGTAACTGAGGACATTTCTGTTACATTTTATAATCGCACGACTGCTGGAGTGAAATGTACATTTTTTTTCTGTAGTCGTTTCGTAGTCTTTTCGGTTAAATTATTTAGCCAAAGCTAACAAATTTTATACTGTGTAACTAGAGAACCAAGTCAATGGTAGATGACAATGGAGAGAAAATGTTTTTTTTCCCTGTTATTCTACTACATCCTACACTGTATCCATTTTTTTTAAAACATTGTTTTGACAACTCACTTTGTCATTCAGAACGATGTGATATTTTGCGCTCTCTACTTTCCTGTCTGAAGAATTTGTTGTACATTCTAAAGGTTTGGTAGCTTTTCATTTTTATGTCACTTTATGACTACTTTTGCACCAATTTTAAGACATTGGTTTCAAAAAGAAAAACCCTTACGTGCAGTTATTTATGTAAAAAATTGAAAACAGTGGTATGCTTTTATCATATGTAAGCGGTTTTGGTTTGTAACATGGTTAATTTTGTTAATTCAAATTAATACAGATCCTGCAATGTCAAGAACTAGAATATAGTGTGTGTTCAAATTGACAATGTATAATTTGCACACCACAGTAGAGTCTTTTGGCTACACTCACTATTAATTAGTTTGAATGGGAAAACAGTGCAGTTTATTCTCTCTACTTTGGGCCTCAAGTACTTTGATGGAATTGCATCCCTAAAGTCCATAGCCACAGGGGTTTCCCATATGGTTGCGAAATGCATGGCGATAGTACACCTTAAACTTTGCTCCGAGTGGAAATGTTCATGCTTGGGATCTCTGAGAAGATTATTCTCAGATTATTCTCATCCCTCTCTCCAGTTTGCATCAGAATCTTCCTCATCTCCCCAGCGCAGAGTAGTTGGGCCAAATGGTCAGCTTCCTTGTCGTATAATTCCACATAATTTTGGAAATAACACAAATGCAACTAGTTTTTAATGGAGCATAGACCTAGAGAGTGTACAACATGCCCATTTAGCCCAACAAGTCCATGCCAGGGTTTTATACACCACACTACTCCTTACACCCAAGCAAAAGAGCCTTCTCCGCAGGTCAAGTTAAGCAAAGCTGGTTTGCCTATTTAAAAACAATTTATTTAATAATCTTCTCAGATGATCCCAAGCAAGTCATTTCCCTTAACTGGCAAAGAAAATGCATTTAATATAGCGCCTTTCAAAATGCCTCAAAAGCAATCCATGCAATTAGATACGTTTTTAACAAATAGTGACTTTTTAATGTCTGTAAATGTAGCTGTTAACTTGCACTATTAACATTCCACAAAGAGCAACGAGATGACCAATTAATATTTTGGGTGCCAAATGAGGGAGGAATATTAATCACAGATCACCAAAAACTTTTGGAACAGCAGGAGTCGCCAGATCAAATAAGAGCTCTATTTATTGCTTCAGATATTAATAGCTGCAAAAGTGCAGCACTGGCAGAGTTTCAGCCAATATCTTATGATCTCACATCCTGGCATAAAGCTTCAATGAGAAACTCCTCACCCAGAGACAAGGATGCGATCATCTAAGCCAAACTGACAAAAGCTCTGATTGAATAAAGCAAACCTCGCTACAGCCTAAGAGGCATTACCTCAGACTAGTTTTAAAATGGGTGTAAACTCAATATTTTCTCAAGCTACAGATCAGCCATGACGTGAATAGAATGGCGGAACAGGCTCGAGGGGTTGACTGGCCTACTCCTGTTCCTATTCTGACATATACCCTTTGAACGATTAAAATCGGTTACATTTTACATCCCCCCTTAAAATAACATATTGTCTAACAAATAGTGGAAACAAACACAATAGTGGACGTGATCTTTGTACTTAAGAATTCCAGCGCGACACCTTCCGAGCTCAGATAAAACACGTGTCTTATGAATGAAAATGCTACTTTTGTCAAAACTATTTTCGAAAAAGCAGACGCACCTGGTGAGATACAATTACCTTTATTTTAAATTGAAACAAATAGAATGGCAAAATAAATAATATTGCACTTTGCTCTTCAACATCACGTGGATTGGGATGCGTGTTCTGCTATCATGTAGTTTTGTAAGTCTTAGGAAACGTTAGTAACAGCCTACCAAATCAGTTAGTGTCGCATGACACCAAATCCCAATGCAATCAGATGACAAAAGACATTTTAAGTCAAGATAACACCCGATCCTTTTCACATCATACAAATTTTTATACCAAAATGTTCGAGATTTTGTGAACATGATATTCCTGATCCCTTTCACATCAAACACATTTCTTACTGAAATTTCGAAAGTTTGTTGATCCAAAAAGCAGCAACAGATAACTTTGATTTGAGGTACAGGTCTCAGTTTAGACTGACAGCTTTGTACCACAATACTGTGTCACAGAAGCAAGCACCCATTTACAAGAGCTTCAACATGAAGCAACATTTGGATATCCATGTTTCCAATGCAGTGAGTACAATATAAAGGCCATTTTGCCTCTATCTGAATAAAAGGTGATTAATACATTGGTGCACACACAGGCCTGATCTAATGCCAAATCTATGGTGCATTTATAGTTTATCAGTGTGAATGCGTAGGGTAAGCTGGATAACCAAACATTTGAATAAAAAGTCTTGAGCCCACTTATGCTTGAAATCCAATTTAAAAGATCAATGTTAATCGTTATCTGTCCAAAACCCAAGAGTAAGCATGAAAATAGTCACTAATAATCACTACAATGATAACTGGGCACGACCCATATTTTGCCTTACAAAACAGTGATTTGAAGAGCATTGCACATTGGTACAATGCTGGCAGAAGAACCCATCGTTGCAAAAGAAGCTACCAGGAATGGTGAATTCACAACTGAAGCAGTAAAATCGATTGTTTTTACAATATTTAAAAAATTCTTGCCCTTTAGCTCATCTCCCCCATTATCTAAGAATCTACTGGTGCTTTTCTCCTGTGGTACACATTAATAATAATAATTCTTACATTTGACCTAACGACTTATCACGTTATCGAGACGTCTCAAAGTAGGGATTGTGTATTTTGTGGGTGAATATGGATCCAAAAAACTCTCAAAATATTTGCATATTGGACTGAAAGAAAACAAATATGCAACACTGGTCCCCATGACAAAGAAAATGCCAACTGACCATCTTAATTTTAAAAATATTTTACAAAGTCTATTAAAAAAATAGTAAATTACTGATACCACTAAACCAAGTGGTCAAAATAAAGTGGTTGAAGCTTTAAATTTAGAAGGCAATGCTCATTCTGTAATTAGAGCACTGGAAATAAAACATGTTTGAGAATTCACCACTGCTAATCAATGACATTTTGGTCAAGTCAGTCCCCTGGATCAGCAGTCAAAAAGTTAAACAAAATTCATATCCCTCTATTAATTCACTAACCTTCTATTGTAAATAGTCAGGAGGCGCACTTCTAAACAATTGCGTAATTATACAATCTGTTAGAATTCCATTACAAAAATAGACCGACATTGTGGTCTTAAAGTCTGTAGAATCTATTCAACTGAATTCAAATCAGTATCCAACTCAAACACTTGTGGCTCAATTCTGAACATGTAGGACTGGTGTAGACATCAAGCTGGCTGATCTCACATTAGTTTGATCCGTTCTTATGGAATAAACCAACTGTATGAGCTGGATTCATATCCTCGGCTCCCGGGTGCCTAGTGTGTGGTTTGATGCAATATGGGATTATTGAAGATGAATACTGTACAAAAAACATAAATATTATTTTACAGGCCATAAAATCAGAGCAGTAAATCTAAACAAAGAAATTCTCAATAGCTCTTAAATTGACAGGTAAGAGAAACATTTTAATTAAATGAAACTCTTAGGTATAGCACTTGTGGTCTTTATAATAATAACACTTGCACTTGATATAGTGCTGTATCACATCTTCGAGCCGTCTCAAAGCGCTTCGCAGAATATACTGTAAAGTGAATTGACTATTTTGTGGGTAAAACGCGGCAGCCAATTGCACACAGCAGGGTCCCACAAACAATCGTGGTTTGTGGACATTTATCTTCTGTTCACATATATATACATACATATATACATACTAATAAAACGGCAATGTCTGTTTGCGCTTCAAGAAGGATCTCATTATCCGATTGCCGTAGACACATGATTTATACCTCATCGGAAAGGCCTTGCATCTGAGAGTGACACGGGCATATTTGTTTTCGCTCATGAGTTATTTTCAGTTTTGCGTTTTGTACTGCAGTTACACCTGGTAGCCACTGAGTCAAAATGGCACTGTGGCACCGTGAGTCCCAGAGCACCTATGTACCCACGCACCGCGGTTTCACCGGGCGGCCAGGCCGGCTGACTGTGGCGCTGTGGCACCCTGCAGCACAGAGCGAGCATATAGCCAAGCGGCGGGAACAAAATAAGAACACAGGCAAAGCTAAGCCGCGGCAACAACAACAAAATTTGTAAAGCGCCGAGTCCTCCCAGAGGAGTATAAAGATGAAATGCCTGTGTCAATCTACATTCCATATTGGATCCTTTGGTTGCAAGCGAATCTGCAACAGGTACAGCTAGTTTAAACAATAAGCGTAGATCAGTAAAATACTACAGTGAAGCCCTGTTATACCGGAGCTGTTGGAAGTTTACAAAATTCCAACTGGGTTATAATGGGGTGTGATCGCTGGTCAGCACTCCTGCACTCATGTGCATCAAACCTCCAATCAGGGCACAAATTGGCAAAATGGCCAATATTCAGTTCAACAGGTTGCAGGTGATGCTAATTTCTGCACACGATGATTTTAAGTGCCATTGGAGCTGGTACCTGAATTTGAATTGATTTGGGGTAAGTGAGTTCCTGGGACCCACGTTATAATCAAGTGCCTTATAAAGGCTTTATTATACCAAACCTAACTTGGTGAAATAAAAATGAAGTTTCAAATACAGATCCCCTTTCATACTAGAAACTAATATGAAATATTACTCCATTCTGACTGTGCCTTCAGCCACCCTCCTACCCTCTCTGCCCTCCCTCATCCCAACCCTGCTCCCGACGCTTGGGTCCTGACCCCTGACTGTTCAGCACCTCGGCATGTCCTCCCGCCGTGAAAGGTGGAGAAAAAAAAAAATTCTGAAAAGCCCAAGTGTGAAAAGAAAAATACAAATACTTTGCAATAATCTAAGTACAAGTTTCAAATGCAGTATCTTTTGACATGAAACTGTTCAGCCAGCAATAAAATCCTTTTTCGCCACCATCTCAGAAATTTACACAAACAGTATCCAAAATTACTTCTATACAATAAGTTCAATTGGCTACCTGAAATTTCGGAAGTTTAGAAAAGTGCTGAATTTTAACATTTTGAGGCATCATTAAACTTCCTTGGATATCTCCTCCAGTTAATTTCATCTTGCAACATGATGTTGGACAACAAAGTAAAGTCAGGTTTTAAAATTTTAGGGACCACCATCCATAAAGTTAGCAAAATTATTACTCGCAAAAAATGTATGGCAAAATTGAATAGGTTTGCATTCAATTGGATCCGTCGGATGCCATCTTCTTAATTAAATGCGATCGTAATCAGTGCCACGGGAAATAGCCTCTGCCTTCCACTCGACCAGGAAGAAGGATACTGTGCCAAGGAATCCAACCAGCACCAGGATAAGAAGTTGCCACTGAAGTAGAAGATAATTGCTGTAGCCAAATGCAATCGCGGCACAGATAGACTGGAAAAAAGTAAACCCAAGCTTTAATATACATGATAAAAATGTTATTTTGTATGAAATTAACAATGTTATAAGAGATATATTCAAACCTAGCTCCACTTTATAACTAAACAAAAGCTGTCTGCTAACACTGCACTAAAAAGCTTTTATAATACAGTACAATATACACTTATATAGCGCCTCATGTCGGGAAGATGCCTCAAAGCGCTTTTCATTCTTACTTGGACAAACTTGAACACAGCAAATGCAGAAGCACTTTCTTGGGAATACATAAACCCCAAAATGCTGATGACCTGTGTGTTGAAACAGCTGTCACCGAATCCCAGAAGGAAACTGCAAACTACAGCAATCGCTTTGCTGGCGGGGGTGAGAAAAAAATGAAGGGAAGGAGGAAGAGAGGGGAGAAGAGTCAATAGTGAATGAAGAATCTATATCAAACTCTATACAGTACCTATCCATCATTTTAATTCTGTAAGACTTATAATTGCTATTGTGTAAAAGTTGCAAGATAAAAAAATATTTTAGAGCCAGTTTAGTGCATTACTTTCTTTTAACATGATTAAAAGGTAGTCTGATCTTGGAAGTCTCTTGGGGCACACACCCAAAGAACTGGCAGGAATTTCCCCACAATGGCCTTCAGCCATTCCTTTTTATTTGAATTCATTTTATTTATTTTATTCCTTTTCAATAAAATGTAGCTGAAATACGCCACACATAGGTCCTGATAAAGCAATCTTTGGAAGTCAAATTGACCTGCAACCTAATTCTGTTTAGACAAAACAAAGACTCACCTTGGAAATAAGTATGCAATATCATTAGTTCCTTCCTCAGATACGATTGGTGCTACACTAGGTACGTTCAGGAATATCAAATAGAAGGCGACAACATGCGTCAATAAACCCAGAAGAACTATAGGGTTTCTCCCAAAATTATGGTATTGGTTGAACAAACCAAAGGTTCCTCCACCTAGAAATAAAAACATGTGGAAAAATAAAAATGCAGTGCAATTCCACTTAATAAACTGAACTATAAATACCAGTTCAAATAAGATTACAAACCTATGATTTCTCCAACGCCAATAAAGATGCCAGCTAATCCAACCATACTTTTGGCTTCATCCCCAAACTGGTTCATTGCCCCCAGAGAGGTTCCATAGACACCACTAAAAAAGGTTAATTCAAGGCCTACAAAGAAAACAATATAAATATTATCACCATCTTATTATTTAGACTCTTCTCCCCAATCTGAAGCTCTAAACAATGTTAGCAACTCTTGCCACTGATATAAGGTACTACATCCCAATGATAACAGGTTTCTGAAATGGAAGCCTTGGGCAACTCACTGGGTTTACCACGGTGATTTGGTCTGCAATTCCCTACATACCAAATTTCAGATCATAACAGTGAATTATGCTAGAGGCCTGAAATAAACTTTCCGAGCTAACCCTTGTGGAAATGTAATCCATGAGCAAAATATTTGTAAAATTATACAGCAATATTATCCTTTAGATATCAATTTATGTTGCTACTGCACCATAAAGAAAATAGTTTCTTGCAAAGCAATGGGTTAAAGTACTGCAAAATTACTTCTACTTTGCCATGTAAAATGTAGACTAAACATTTACTCCAGTATCTTTATAAGATAGTTTGAGGGATGAGCTCACCTGTGTATGCAATACAAACACTGAGAAGCAGCATTTCTTTGGTGAAGAATAACTGGATTGAACTTCTGTTACCAAAAGAATGCATCAGTTAGCACATATAAAAAAATTGTGGATAAAAAATATTGCCAATAATTGTAGACGTGAACGTTCACTTACTGAATGCATCTAACGCTTTCGATCCTCCCCTTTGAGATCTGTAAACAAGGAAAAACATTGTCAATTCGTAAGTAAACAGTAGTATTGATAAACCCCAATAATGAACAAAAGACATAAAGCAACAACAACTTGGATTTATATTGCGCCCTCCCCGCCGGACGGCGTCTCAGAGCACTTTACAGTTTCGGATCCCAGGACCGAGCCGGGGGGAGGGGGGGATGGTGACCAAAGGCGAAGTCGAAAAGGTGTTCAGAGACCTGAAAATCGGAAGGGAGGGAGCGAGACGAAGGGAGTTAGGAAGGCAGTTACAGAGCCTCTGGGCATAGTGGCTGAAGGCACGGCCGCCGAGGGTGGAGCGGAGGACTCAGGGGACAAGGAGGAGGCCAGACTCGGAGGAACGAAGGGAACGGGTGCTGTTTTGAGGAGAGGAGGTCGGAGAGGTAGAGGGGGTGCAGAGACATGAATATGAGGGTGAGGATCTTGAAGTCGATCCTCTCTGGGATAGGCGGCCAGTGCAGTCTGGCAAGGACTGGGGACTACTGCACTACTGATCAATTCAATTAAAGTACAGCCTTTTCCCTCTGTGCACAACATAAAGCAATACTTTTAACTGTGGTCATCTGATTAATGCATTGTTGTGGATAAGCTTTGTAAAAGTTAGGTTGTCTGATCCTGCAATTTTCTTCTTAAACTTCTAAATTACATGCACTGAATTCACAGAATGGTACACAAATTGACATTTTGCTGAAAGTATGAATGCTACCCGGAATGCCAAACAAAATACTGTTTACCGTGACCAAGTAGATTTACTATTACCTGATACATTCTTCATTTACTTCAACTGTGAGAAATGATCTGGTTTGGAAGTGTGCAAATAGGTTATTACAATAGTGATATTGCAGTCAACAGAACACCTCAAATTGTAGAAATAGAAATGTACTGTGATATAGAAATATATTGCGTATTCACAGATATACACAATAAGACTGACAGTCACCAATGTCAAGTGTAGAAATAATAATAAATAATCATTGCATTTGATATTGCGCCTTATCACATCTTCGAAGTGTCTCAAAGCGCTTCAGATTATACTGTAAAGTGAATTGACTGCATATGTTGTGGGTGAAACACGGCAGCCAATTTGAAATGCAAAAAAAAATATTCAGTAGTCTAGATGTTTTGAACAATGAATGTCATCTGAAGAGAACTTACAAAAGTATGTTTTCAGTATCCTCATCAGACATTGGCTCATCTGTACACAGCAAAACTGCAGAGTTGGGTTTCCTTATAAGGAACAGCAAAAGGCTTCCCACCAAACTAATCACCGTTAGCGCAATAAAAACTGTCCTGCGGTCATGATCTGCAGTTCAAAAGAGAAAAGTAAATGAACACAAAACAATTAATGCACAACTACAAAAACAGTAGTTAGCAGAAATAATGAAAATTGGGTTTTATTCCAGAAGCAAAGAATGTTGGATACTATAACTGGGAAAGTAGGTAAAGCAAACACGTTCGTTTGTCCAGGACAAGAAAACATCACACATGTGCAATGTTTGCTGTCATGCATCTTTTAAGAGGCAAAGTGGACATGGTAGGAAATCCCACAATGTTAAATATAATTCTTGATCCTCAGGATATCCAAAACCAACATGCATTTATATAGCACCCTTCACGCGGGCTAACGTCCAAAAGCGCTTAAACAGGATTTTGTTGCAACTCTCACGTCAGCTAACTCTGCACAAATACAAGAAAACTTCACTCACATATGAGAGTTCATTAAGCACTGCTTATTAAGCATAATGTGCTGGAACGAAACAATGTTAAGATTCAATTGCCAGTACTAACCTGAAATGTGTTTTTCTCCTTTCCAAGCAAAATATATATAGAGGTTTCCAAAAAGAAGACTGGAGAAAAAAAATAAAGTATTAACTCTAATTCTGAATGAACGGTGCCCAATGGTTAGATAAATGCCATACAATTCAGCATTTCAGTTAGAAAAAGGAGATCATTCAGCCCACCAAGCTTGCTCTGCCAGTTTATTAGATCAAGGCAGATCTTTTACTCCTATTTTTTGTTTCACTTACCTTCTTACTTCAAATAATACTTGCATTTGATACTGCGCTTTTCACGTCTTCTAGACATTTCAAAGTGCTTGACAGAATACACTTTAAAGTGAATTGATTGTATATTTGGGGGCAAAATATCTACTTCCTTTTAAACTGTTTCTATCTATGCCTTCTGTGGCAGTGCAGAGAGGCTAGATAAACTGATTCTATTTATGCCTCTCTGTGCAAAGAAACACTTACTAATCTCACTTTGGATCATCTGAACCCTCATTCTAATTTAGCGAAAGCGCATCCTTTTCATAAATACCTAAATTGTAGGAGCGCCCAAAATATGCCACTGTTCCTTCCAATGGTGTTTTCATCTGAGTTTATCGTCAAACAGTTGCCCTGGGCTGTCCAAAGCACTAAAAAAAAAATCAAGCAACAGAGAGAAAAGTTACAAAACTATTTTGGGCTAGTCTTCTACCATTCTAGTAATACATTTAAATCAGTTTAAATTTGCTACGAGAATCCAAGGGAACTTTACAAAATATTATCCATTGATGTAAAGTTGAATTACAAATCTACAATTGCCATGCCACAAATGTGTAGTATTCTTAGGCTTCATAATTTAATAAGAAGATGCGCTTCAGACCATTTGAACAATGAGCTTTGTATTACACGATCGATCATGGTTAATGAGTAATGACTCTATTCCCATCTCAAACACTGTGGGCCTGTAGCTATCTCACATTAAATTTCCAGATAAACAGTGGGTAAAATAACAGAAGATAGACATAATGTGCAAACAGTACATTTTAATCAAAGACTACATAGGACTCTATCAAAGGAAATTAATTTCAGTTTCTTCCTCCATGAGTGTTATTTATTCACAATACCTAGAATATTGTGTGCAGTTTTGGTCTCCTTATTTAAGGAAGGACACACTCGCCTTAGAGGGGAGGAGGCGCAGTGTAGATTCACTAGTTAGTTCCTGGGATGAGGGGGTTGACCTATGAGGATAGGTTGAGTAAACGAGGCCTATATTCTAGAGAATATAGAAGAATTAGGTCGTGATCTTGTAGAAACATGTAGAATTCTTATGGGGGCCTGACAGAGTAGACACTGTGAGACTGTTTCCCTTGGTAGGAGAGACTATAACTAGTGGGTCACTGTCTTAAGATTAAGGGTCAGCTTTTCGAACAGAGTTGAGAAAACACTTCTTCGCTCAGAGGGTAGAGAATTCTATAAATTCACTATTTATAGAATTTATAGAATTCTCTACCCCAGAAGGCTGTGGATGCTCAGTCCTTGAACATACTCAAGACTGAGATTTATAAGTTTCTAAAGGATAGAGGAATTAAGGGATATGGGGATAAGGTGAGCAGATGGAATTAAGTTAGAAGCCAGGATCTCATTGAATGGCGAGGCAGCCTCGAGGGGCCGAATGGCCTACCCCTGATTCCTATGTTGATTTTGTATTACGTCAATTCATGAAATGGAAGGTTTGACTTATTGGCCAACACAATGCACAAAGTATCCTTCCTCACTTAGTTGCATTTGTATCGCTTATGACCAGAAATTAAAAAAAAACAGGACATTTCTTACCTGCAGCTGCTATCCCAATAATGACTGAAGCTAGGTAAAAGGACCAAGTGTACGGCTCAATGAAAACTGCAACATAAGCACTGAAAGACAATGGAGACGCGTTTCAGATCAAGATTCTTTAAGTGCGAACAGGTTTATGTCAAGAACAGATTTTAAAAAAAGCAAGGCAAGATTAAGTGATGCAATGAATTAGCATATCGTCCTTTTAGCTCTGATGCCTTGATTTTGATAGTAGCTCCCCCCCACTCTGTCATATTGAAGCAATTGTTGATCGTTCGTAGTGAGCAGGAGTCCACAAGACAAAACTGGCCACAACTTGTAATCTCACCGAGATGGGCAAAAAAAATACACTGTTGAAAACATTTGTCTAAAGCTCCATTTAAAGGTGCTTTTTTGGAATAAATAGTTTTATTATCTGAACCCATACGATTTCTGACCGATTAATGCCCAAAATGCATTTCACAAATGGGAATACTGTTCCATTCAGCCAAAATAATATGAAGCAACAAACCAGTATATAATCCTTACGTAGATGTAAACCAAAGACTCACCCCCTCAGCCATCCCGTGTCCTATTCAGACTGGTGAATTACAAAGGAGCAACAGATTCAAATTAATTAATAAATCAAATTAATTTAACCCAATTTAAAATCAAGGATGTAATAATGAAATGGCTGGACCCGCCTGTTTATTCAGTGCACAATTACTGAGTATATGAGGTACAAGTTATATTTCAACTTAAATTAATATATTTAAACATTTCCATAACTAATATATTTTTATATTTCTTTTGAGGTACTTGTACGCAAACAGAAAGAACCAGCAAGGAAAACAGAATGAAAACCACAGACTAAAAAAGAAAATGAGTTCATGATCTGACTACTTTACCTGTAAATGAATCCACTGAAGATCATGGAAAGTTGAGGTCCAATAACAGCAACAATCGATGGAGCCAACAGATTTGAGGCAGAAAATACACCATAAATTATGGCAAGGCTTCAAGAGAAATATATTGGAATTAGTAAAATGAAATATATAGATATTAAGTTATTTTCCAACACTTTGCAAATACTATGTAAACATGCTCTATGTAAACACACATAGGAATAGTTTGTGAATATTGTCGTATAAAATAATTATCATGATTTACAGTACCACAATTATCAGAAAAGGGTGAAAAGCAACAAAATACCTGTTATATCCACTCCCCTTAAATCGAGTATGATTGAGACTTTTGATAACAGTTTGCTGTGGAAAAAAAGAATCGATACAATCTTGTCATCAATACCAGGAAATTTCTCAATGAGTTACTATCCTATATATTTCATATATATATATATATACACACACACACATCTGTATACCAAACATACGAAACATATCATACTGGTGTAATAATTTTTGTGGTGAATACATCACCAAATGAAATGGGCCTAGTGTCTACCTTGATTGGTATGCAATGCTACTGCTGATGTTCCTCACTTCACCTTATGGAATTACTGCTCTATCGGTGAGGGTGTGTGTGCCAAGTCTGTAGTCAGAAGGATGGCAGCAATGCACTTACACAACAACAACAACTTGGAATTATATAGCGCCCTCCACGCCGGATGGCGTCTCAGATCGCTTCACAGTAACGGATCCCGGGGCCGAGCCAGGGGGAGGAGGAAGGAGGTGACCAAAGGCACGGTCAAAAAGATTGTGCTGCTCACCATGTGGCTGGCAACATCTTCCTTGTACCAGTTATCCATCTAATAAGGTCTGCTAGAAGGAATTGGAGGAGCATTTGTCAGACGAGGTGGCTGGGTCGCCCCTTCCAAAAACGATATATGCTCTTGTTAACCCTAAAGCTAAAGTCCCAACAGCTAGGATGGTCTTGCTGGAAGCTTACCCGTGTTCACGGTTTTAGCCGGTTCAACTTGTGATTGCCAACCCTGGCTTTCACAACTGGCACCTAACATCCGTGGAATTATGCAGGCAGGGTGAGTCCCTCTGGGGAAAGAGTAGCCTATTCTGGAACACTCCACATCTATCCCTCCGCCTTGCCCCTTCCTTTCTCCATCTTCAGGATCTTCAGGTCACGCCCGAAGACCTTCCTCTTTCCACCGTGCCCACGGGCTCGGGGTGCTGCTCCACCCACTGTCAAGCGCTCTGGGGACATTACCCTGTGCGAGGTGGGGGTAGTGCTGTGTAAGCGCAAGTTGTTGTTGTGGACATAGTTCAGGAATTGGGGACGCACACACTGGTGAGTGGCGACTCTGGACACCTGACTGACAGTGACCGACTGGACTGACAACCCCTCCCCCCCCCACAACAGGCTCACAATTTGCAACTCACTGCCCAAACCCCCCCCCCCCACCCACCCACCACCACCACACACGCGGCGTGTTTTCTCTCGACAAAAAAAAACCCCGTAAGCAGCCTCGTCAGCTGCACCCACAGGGAGAGGCCGATGATCGGCCACTCGGAACGCAGGCGGTTGTTGTCGCGGATTGAGGACCGTTCCCTCCCGTCAGAAGTTTAAGTTATATTTCAACTTAAATTCATACGTTTAAACATCTCCATAACTAAGCGGTTTTCACGTTAAATTTTTTTTAAAAAAAAAACAAGAGGCCTCCCAGGAGAGTTCAACAAACTTTTAACACAGATCAATTTGTAACTGAAACCGTAACTGGCCTCACCCCCCCCCACACACACACACACCCCCACCACACACCCACCGCACCCCCCCCCCCGGGTTCTTCGTGCAGTCGGTGAGTTTAGTCAGTTTATTAGTTAGTCAGTCAGTCAGGGCGGTTAGTCGGTCACTTCACTCACTCACCTCGACGTTCCCGCAAGTCTGGAAAGCGGTGAATATGAACATAAAGGCGAAGCCCAAAATCAGGATATTGGTCAGTTTTAACCCTTCCGGCGTCATGTTTGTGTTTTTTTTTCCTCTCTCCTTTTCTTTCTTTCTCTCTCTCTCTCCAAATCTCCGAAGGGAAAGAAGGTTTCGGGAGAGGGATTCTTCGACGCCGACCCTCAAGAGGCTGCAAACTCGAACTCACTTTCCTCACAGCAGCGGGCCGCCGACGTTGATCAGCTGACCAGCACCTGAGTTGGTGGCCGCCGCCGCCGCCGTCGATGCTGCCCGAAGCGTCGCGCGCATGCGCCGCCGCCCGCCCATCCCCGCGCGAGCTGAAGCGTCGCGCGCAGGCGCAGCGCCCCAACCGCCCGCCGGCGAACGTTAGGATTTGAATTTCACCTGCCCCTCCCCCCACCGCCACTCCGCCTCCTGCACCAGAGGCCGCGTCAACGCCACTTGGAGCGGTTCGCAGCGCTGTATTTCAATTTTCGTCTCGTCACTTGCCCTGCCTAAAGCGCACCCCCCCCAATAAATTAATAAAACACTTTATTCAAAATAATAAGGGCAATAAAGCCGCTGCTGGCGGCCAGACTCGCCCCCCCCCCTCCCCCACTCCTCACGCGCTGCCGAGTTGCAGGGGGAGGGGAAAACTACAACGTCCATCATGCTCCGCGCGGCGGCAAAATGTACTTCCGGTGTCTTCATCGCCCGTGAAGAGAATTATTTTCTTTCAGGGCCTTTTATGGGGCGATCAAAGTCCGTACCGTTAACCATCAGGATGTGGGTCGACTACGTGGTTTTTTTTTTGCTGATGCGCAAATAATCTGGTCTTTCGCCCCCTCCCCCCACACGCCCCACCCCCTTCTGTGAAGCGCGGGAGAGATGTTTCCGGGTCAGGTAGGCAGGCGCCATCTTGTGATTGTGGTGTGTGGCGGGGTTTGCGGCGGGTCACCGAGCGAGTCGTCGAGCCCACGTTTGTCCCGTCCCCTCTTAGGAACAGTTTATAAGGCTGTATTTTTTTTAAAAAAAAACGAGAGGTAGATTGAGAGAAGAGGGGACAATCCAAAACCCAAACACTCGACGATGAGTTACGGTCGGATGCCGCCTGATATCGAAGGAATGACCTCGTTGAAAGTTGATAACCTGACCTATCGCACGTCCCCCGAGACGCTGAAGCGCGTGTTCGAGAAGTACGGCAAAGTGGGCGACGTCTACATCCCCCGGGACCGCTTCACCCGCGAGAGCCGCGGCTTCGCCTTCGTCCGCTTCCACGACAAGAGAGACGCCGAGGACGCCATCGATGCTATGGACGGCGCGGTGCTGGACGGCAGGGAGCTGAGGGTGCAGATGGCTCGATACGGTCGACCGGCCGAGTCCCACCGGAGAGGAGGCTCGTCCCGCCGCTATGGCGGCTCGTACGGCAGGCGAAGCCGGAGGTTAGTCGACTGTCCTGTCCGTACGCCGACCAATCCCCACCCCCCTTCCCCCTCCCCACGGGGAGGGTTGTGAGGCTCTTATAAAAGCGGGAAGGTTAGCTTTTTTGAGTTTCGTTCATTAATCGGTGGTCCGTGTGGTGAACGCAGATGCTCAGACCTGGGATGTGAACGGTCCCTTAAAAACTCGAGTGAATTTTTATTTGGGGGTGGGGTGCAGAATCCAGTTTCTTTTTTTTCAAAAAAAAATAAAAAAAATCTATTGCGGGAGATATTTTTTTTCCAAGCGCCCCCCCCCTCCCCCCCCGCCCCCCGCAAAGAATAGCGTTCGATTTTAAATCTTTAAAATGTTCAGCGTTTAATCTCGTAAATTGCGATGTTCTTGTTCTTGCGATTTCTATTTTTTTTTATTGGGTTGAAAAAGCTCCTCTCGGGGACGCCTAAAAATGTAAGACTCCAAGACACTTGTTAAACGTTGAACATATTGTTGCAGTTTTCACGATAAGACTGGCTGCTTTCCTGTCGCGACTGAAAAGTATATATTCCCCCCCCCCCACACCATGGTCCTGAGCATGAGTTTAGTTGGAAAGCATTTTCTTTTTGGGTAGGTTGCGTCCGTGATAAACTGCAGTCGACGTGTGGTTGGTCTTTGTTTACACGTGCGTTTCTGGGGTCGCTTGTGTTTCAAGGTGTACAAAGGGCAGGTTTTCAAGAAAAAAGTGCATTTTTTTGGATTATCTCAACCGTTAAAATCACGAGGCAATGGTAGGGTCGAAGTTCTTGTTTTTCAAATAAAATCTTATCTTCCCGTGACCCTGGGTGCTTTGGTTTTCGTGTCGAGGGGGGGGAGGGGTGTGTGCAACGTTTCATTATACAGCTATCGAGGTAGTTTAGGTTTGTGGCAAACGTAACCAATGTCCTTATCTACGACATGTGCCCAACGGTATTTTGATAGAAGCTATTTTCTTCAAGTAAATAATTGTCATGTTTTAGTTTTAACAGTCAATGTCGTTTTTTAATCTAACTTGTCTGACTGGAACCGTTTCTTGCCTCTAGCCCTAGAAGACGACGACGATCTCGTTCAAGATCCAGAAGCCGTAGCCGTTCTAGGTCGAGATCTCGCTACAGCAGATCCAGATCTCGCTCATATTCCCGTTCTAGATCACGTTCAAAGTCTAGATCTGTTGAAAGATCAAGGTCAAAATCGAAGTCTAAATCGAAGTCCAGGTCTCGGTCCAGATCTAAGTCACAATCAAGATCCAGAAGTGGATCCCGGATGTCCCATGGCTCGAAGTCCCGATCAAAGACACCAACAAAATCTCCACAGAAAGATGGCATTGAATCACCATAAAAATGTGGTAAATTGCATCAAAGTGAGTGATATTTAAACATGTGTTTTAACTACTTTTACATTGGTGTTTGAAGTTCTGGAAGCATTTGGTTTCAGTGAGATGCGTTTCTACGCAGATAAATGTAGACGTTCTACATGATGATTTTGATTTACAGCTAGCTGCTGTATAGTTGCTACAGTGTATGTGTATATACTAATGTAAAAGTTATCTTAACAATTTTGTATTAAAGCTAGCGGTTATGTATTTGCTAGCTATTCTTTGATGAGAAGGAACTCTTGTGATGGAAAGTTGTCCATGCAGACTAAGTCAGCAAACCTCTCCATTGATCCAATCATTTTGTTTTCTGGATATCAGTCCCAGTTGAATGATTGTCGACACCTGCTGTCGTATTAAGTATTGTTGTACACTTGCTCAAGGCAAGTAGTTTCAGATTGGGGGAAGGGGGGTGCGTATTCTTCATTCTGGACTCATTTGGGGTACTGCCAGAACTTCAAGGCCTACTATATAATAATAATAAACCTTGCATTTGATATAGTGCTTTATCACGTCTTCGAAACGTCTCAAAGCGTTTCACAGAATATATTGTGAAGTGAATTGACTATTTTGTGGGCGAGGCGAATGAAGAGTCTTCAGGGCATTAAGACTGTTTTCCTTTTGATTGTAATATTAAAGCATAAGAGCTTTGATATTGCAATTACTCATTGTTGCTTTGAATATTACGAAGAATCATTTATTATGATATATTTTTACTCAGTCCTTGAAATTCATGATTTGAAGTCATCAACCCAATATGCTATGTATTTCCTTAAACTGTCAACTACAATAATAATCCTTAAGTTTTATATATCTTTGTGACTAATCTTTAAATGGGAGTATGAGTCTTCTAATTTGTCTATGGTAGACGGTAGAATGAATGGGGCTTGTAGAGATGAGAGAAAGATGTATAAATCTTTGATGTGGGTTTTGTTCAAGTTTTTGCATGGGGTACTGCTGAAGTTTCTGGAACATTTTAGGACTTGAGTACATTGACCACTGTTAGGGTGAATTGTCAGAATATTCAGGTACCCTTCTGAAGGCATTTTTCAGCCTTTGGGGAGTTCTTATGCGATGTTGCACATACATTGTGCTCCCAGATTGAATGTTTGCAAGGAGCTGTGATATCTGAAATATATGGTTAATGATAGAGTAACCTTGGTTGATTAGAAACGAGCCATTTAAGTGTTTTGTTTCCTCTTGATTCATACTGGTGCTGGAATATTAATACCCATGGATGTCATTTAGGAGATTGGTTAACTCACCTAACTGCAATATTAAACATGGTCTGACTGAGTTAGATTTCAATAGTTTTACAAACTGAATTATGGGGTTATGTGGGTTTCTAACATCAAATATTTGATGATTAGATGTTTGGGGAGCCTTTATGCAGTAAAGTTAACTGACAATCTGAGCAGGCATGAAAGTAAAAATTACTTGCACATGTTGATTATTTTTTGCTCCAAAATGCATGCAATTTTAGAATTATTGGCTGTTTCTTCTTGACATCAAAGTTTTCAGTACGGAGGCTTTAAAATATTGACTCTTCTTCCATCTTCAAAAACAGTTATTTTCCAAATGCTTGCTATTACAAATTTGGTTTTGGGTGTCTTTTTGGATAAATGGATAATGAATTCGGGAGTCTGTAATGTTGAATATTGCCCCCCTGATGGGAAGAAGAGGATGATTTAACTTTTGAAAGTTTAAGGTAAAGAGCTTCACTTAAAACATTGGCATCCATATGAACTATAAGTTCATAACTGTAGTTCAGACCAATGGTTAATGATCGATTCAGTTGGTCAATGGAGTGAAGTTTGATTTCATTTTTGGAATCAAAGAATTAGGAGCAGACACTACATTTTTGTTTCAAATTGGCAATGGCATTTTTGGAAGCAGCTTGCTGCTAAATTTGATGTAGCTGTGTGTGGAAACAGAATAAGGTCAAGGACTGTATAGTTTTTGGTGAATGGAAGACTAGTTGATTGATAATCCATTTGAAATTCGAGTGGTGGTATAAACCATCAGTTGAACTCGTGCAGTTTTAAAAGTCACCTGAGCATCAAGATTGGATTACTTAGTGTCTTGTTCGTTTTAAAGGTTTGGGTTTTTTATGCTGCTCTGAGTTTCATAAATGTTTTATTTCACTGAGTTTGCACTTGGGAGGGGAGAACATATAACTTTATCATCCAATGGCAGCATCTCAGGACACAGAAGGAAGTTTTCTGTACTCTGTACCAGCTACAAGGCCCAAGCTTCCAATCTCATCCCATTATCTAAATGCATTTTACAGTTCTCTTTCTGCGCTTAAACCATCATTATGTTCCCTTGTGTCCACCAGTAAATGGGTGGAGGCATGAGAATTGGAACCCCTGAGAACTGATAAGAGTGAAGTTCAATTTATTCAGATTGGGATCGGTTTCTATGTTCTAATTCATTCCCTGGACTATAAAAAAAACAATTTGAAGGTTATTAAAAACTGAAAGATTGTATTCTAACAGGAACTTAAATAATGGATATATTTAATGGCTCTGCAGGATATACCAAGTAGCCGAGAGAAAGATTAGATTAGCTAGTCTTTGCTAAACTAGTCAATGTCCTTTCCAGCCTGTCAGCACTTCTCTATTTTTCTATTCTCTAATTATTTGCACAATTTCTCTGCTTTGTTGCCTAGTTTTGTTTTGCTTATCACGTTCTACCTCTGAGTTTTTCAACTCAGTGTTTTACTTCTGTTTAGATCTTGCATAATATGCAGATCTGATCTGTTTAGAAACTATATGTATTTCGGGCAGTAACAGACCAGACTCGACAAGTAATTCACTTAACCAAAAATTAATTGGCAATTACTTCCTTCATCTTTTGAAATTGTTGTGCTGGTCATTGCTCCTTGTATTCATAATTTCAGGGCCTGCAGTTGTTGATATCTAGCATCAAAAGTATTGATGCCTATTACTGTACTGTTGGGGTTCACTTTATGTTTTATATGACATTTAATGTTTTCTAGTGTCTATTTAAAGTTTTCATCAGTAAAGGGTGGACAGCAGTCAAGTATAGACCTGAAAAAAATCACTCGTTTCAAATGAAATCTGGAAAATTGCCTCACCAAATATAAATCCCTGTTTCCCTAGGCAAGTTAGTTCTGTGTATTATTACAATCACATATTGATAAGTGAACAATACATATTTAAGTAATAAAATACCAGAATGCCTATTGCTCTAATATTTAGCCAGCACAAATGAAATGTTAACATTTTAAAATGAACCTTTTAACATGTGCTTGCTCCCTTTTTATCCTCCTATTTTCTGCCTTATTTTGAGTTATTTTCTTTTGCCTTACTTAATCTGCCACAGCTTCCCTTTCTAACCTTTTCCTTTTTGCTAATGCTGTGTTTTGAATCTTGTACTTACCTCTTTTCTTCTTTCTTCCAGCCCTGACCGCCCATTTTGGAGGTGGGAGCATTTTTTAAATACAAAGAAGGCTTTTGGTTGGCTAAAATACTGAATTACATGCATTTTAGCAGCTGATCAAAAGCCCTAAACACTAATGATTCTAGACTTATGGTCTTACCATAAGTGCAACCAGACCAGTCATTATTTGTAAAATCATATCCAAATGGAGCTGCTGTCGACTCTAGCTGTGCCCATGCAAGTAAACTTGTCTGGTCCTCAAAGGGTTCAATGGTTGCCAATGCATTAAAATGGTGTACGCTAATTGAGTATTGTTATCTAGCTGTAAAGGTTGTCTAAGCTTTGTAAATCTATTAGCCTTAGTAAAGGGACTAGATAAATCACAGCAAGAGTATGAATTTGTCTGCAATAAACGTGTGATCATAGCAATCTTAAGAAACTGAATAGGTTTATTCTTTGGTGGCAAATCTTTGAAAGCACATTCTTTTTAACTCTTAGACTGATAGCAGGATGTGTCTGTCTCTGTAGGTTGCTTTTTGGACAATTTCAGCTCATTTGGAAATTGAATAACTTATTTTTGTAACGAAATTAAAATGCCAGTTAGTTGTATTATTAATCCATCAAAGCAAATTTAAAACAACTATTTAAGAAAATCTATATATATGTGCTGCCTTGCCTTTTCTCCCTGGGTTCCCATTTTTAAGTCAGTTTTCTTTGCTATTTCCTATTCTAATTTACAAATTTACTTAGCTTTATCCCACTTCTATCAAGCATTTTAGATGACGAGTAACTTTTTAAAACTTGTTTGGAAGTTTGAGTAAGTTTGCAGCTAGTGAATACCAAGTGTGGGCAATTGATATGGCTTCGAATAGATGTGACCAGGCCAATCACTGATGCAGCTTTTGCTTTCAAAATAGGAAGTGGTGCTCCAAATTAATTGGTATTGCACCCAGATGAGTGAACTTGGCAGTTCTTTTGTGTCAAAACATAGGCAAATGAAGAACGTCGCTTTTATTGAGGTGTTGCAAAACTTGTCAAGATCTTTATAAATCTTTGTCAGTTGTTAAATTTTATTTTAAAATGATCGGTTTGGTGGGGGTTGCTTTCTCATAGCATTGATGCTGAAGGAGCATTGAGGATCTAGTTTATTGAATTAAGTCACTTAGTCACAACCAATGTTGAGGACATGAGCTATTTTATATGCAGTTTGTTTTATTTGCATGTTAGTACAGGTGGGTGTTTTAGTGTCTGGAATCTTTATCATTTGAGGTTCTTGCTACTTTCTCCTGCTCTACTGCCATCAATTTAAAGAGAGCTTTTCTGTTCTATACTTCGCTCCTGCAATGCAAACCAGTGACAAATTGAGAGGGTAAATTAATGGTGGTTCCTAACATTTTCTTCAGATATTGATGTCTGTGCAGTGACATGGAACCAACCTGTGACCAAAAGTTGATGAGCATTATTTGGAAGGATACTTTCTTAATGCTCTGATTTTTGCTACACTTTGCAAAATAGCAGCTTCAGTATTTAAGTGAAAATATGATTGAAAACTATAGGCTTAAAACACTAAGTGTGACTGTAACAGTTCTAAAATTGTATATGTATTACTTTTCAATCCACGTAATGTGCCATTTAGCACCATTTTAAACTTTTTGTTTTTTTTTCCTCCTAGATGTTGCAGATGGCTGGAAGATCCACACGGTAGATGCCTTGCAGGAAAGACCATCTCTTGCCATCTGTTTAAGTGATGGAGAGACCTTCCTAAAATAAGCAGTGATCTACTTAAAAGGTTATTATAACATCATTGTTTATAATAGGTTTTTTGTCAGTTTTAAAGTCTTGAATTTAAATTAGTGTCTGTGAAGGCTCATTATATGTTATGTGCCATCTATGTTGCTATTACTTAAACTTCTTACAATTTAGTGAAATGCTCCACTTCAGATTCATTTTGGCTTGGATATGTACATAAGGTAAAAGGCATGAAATGTATTTCCAGGTTTTGTAATGTTTCTGTATACTGAAATAATTATCTTTTAAATTTTGACTTTGCATATGTTTTTTTTCATTTTATTCCAGTCCAATACTAATCTCATTGTCTCATGTATTTTTGTGCACTAGGCGCAGTTGTGTAGCAGTTCTGTAAAGCGGGTTAGCTGTAAGGTGGCGTGTTGCAGTGCAGTGCAGAGTGCTTGGCTGTGTCCTGTATTCTCCTGATTGCTCCTGTAATGATGCCTTGACGTGCAGAAAATATGGCTGTCCAGTAAAATGCCTGTCAGCTGCACCTCCAGAGACCTGGCTGCGTGTAAAATTTGGAGCAGGCAGTAAGCACCACTAGCTACCTTGTTTCTTGTACTTGTTAATGTGGTTTATACATTTACACATGGAACACAATGTTTAGAAAGCTGTTAATTTTTGAATTTCATTGTAATTAACAGTTATATTTGCTTCAAAACATAAAATCCTGTACTTCTGTAATTCTATTAAAGATTTTCCTTGGTGTTAACTGTTCTAAATTTAATTGTGACTAATGGGGCTGTATTTAGAAAACACTTTTGAAAATGTTAATGGTGGGTATTAACATTATGGTAGATTGTAAATTGAACCTTGATTTACCAAAACTATTGTATATCCTTTTGAATAATGTGGACCTCTGCCCTAATTTCTTCTGAGTTCTTGCCTTGTTTTCCTATTGAGAATTACATTGTGCTGAACAAACCCCTTCGAGCTCCAAGCTTAAACCTAAGATATCTCATTTTCGGTAGTGATACGTTTTTATTTCAGCAATAAGGTGCTTCACTTCTCTGAAGATAACAGAAGTAGAGAATTTGAAAACAATGTCAGCTGTTTGAAGAATCAAGTGTATTTGATCCTGGATTTCAGCACCAAAGCGTTAATCTCAGTGAATCCCTTTTGAGTTGGCGTGGGTTTTATTTAAGTGAGATTTTTACGCCCAGTTTCATCTGTTGAAATCCTTGTTCGGAATATATTGAATTTGCAACTGGTAGAATTGAATTTGTTCTATATAACTTCCCTCTAGCATTTTTTTGTAGTCAAGACTTGTTTCAGACATCAAAAGGAAAACATTTCAGAACTAGTTAAATATCCTCATGCTACGTTTATGCTACAGGGTATTGTAGAGCCGCTTCACACGAGAAGTGGTTTTACAACACATCAGATTCACATATACTGGCAGCAGAACAGAAAAGGCTGCATCTGAAAATTCAGGATGGTTAATGTAATCTGCTGTATGTAGACTGTTCCTTGATATGTAGCAAGGGTCCATACTGGAGAAAACTGCATGGCTCGCCTGTTTGGGCGGGTTTTCCATTCAAATAAAAGGAGCAGCACACACCTGCTACCAGAGAAATGTGATGGGAAGCAGGTAAAGGGCCTTATTTAACTTTCTGCCTCCAGAGAAACCAAGAAAAACATCTTGTGATGATGCTTTGAGTCTCCAGAGACCGAGCCATTGCATTTACCTGAGGGAATTATGAGGTAAGTCATTGATGGAGACTGGTAGATGCAGCCAGTTAATTTGGTTGGGCGCAAAACTTAATTGCTAAATTCAGATGTTGGTAATATAATCGTGATATTTTGGATGCTATAAATGCTGCTGGGGTTTCATGATGGAAGACATCTTGGATCCTTGTTGTGCCTTGCCAGTACTTGAAAACTGAAACCTTTGAAAATTATATTTGATCATACTTGGGCAGGCTGAAACTTTACATTTGGTAAGATGGAAGCTGATGTTTGTTTACTCATTGAATCCCTGAAATCCTCATTTTACAAACCTAAACAAAACATTTGACAAAGGTGGATCACTACAAAAATATACCATGCATCTTGATTTGGCTTAGGTCTGGATGTTTTGCACAAGTCTTGCTAGTGTATAAATTGCTACTGCAATGAGACATACTTAATTGAATGTTTCTACCATGCGGTGGTCCATTAAATGTAATTTGTATTGTATAAAGCGGGAATACTATCTCTGCCCCTATTCTCAGTGTATTTGTACAATAATTTTCACATGTTTGTAGATCTGAAATTACGTGCAGGTAGAGGTTATGGTAATATTTCTTACAATTTAGAAATTAATAATTCCAAAGCTCTACAGGTCCATAATTGATGAAGCCAAGTGATAATGATTTGTAGTAACCAGGGAAGGATTGCCCCCAAAAATGTTTGCATGGTATTAAGATGTTGACTTGTTTTAAGGTTTGCCAGGAGAGTTCTATTTCAGTTGGTTATTTTTGATAAATGAAGTGATTAACAGGTGGGCAATTGAAGATGTCACTTGGCAGACATCACTGTAACATGACCACTTTATTGATTAAGTGGAATTCTGGTCCACGGCCCATCATGAAGGGGCTCATTGAACATTTGCACGAGTCTAGCCGTGTTTTTAGTTTCTTGATTTATTTGACGTAAATCAAGAAATATTCAATCAAGAAAATTTATTTTGTTGGCCGACCATAATGGTTGGCCACCACTGCTTTAGAGGAAGCCTTCAGGTATCCATTTTCAATGCGAACTATAAATTACCATCTTGGAATATGCGTAGTGGGAAATAAGTAATGTGCGATTTTTCCTTTTTGATACAGGTTGATACATATTCTTCAGTAAGTTTTTTAAGTTTACTATTTTGCATTGATTGGTGGTCTGAGTTGTAACCCCTTCTGTGGCCAAGTCTCGGTTCTTTTTACTGAAAACTCAGAATTTCTGTTCCAGTGGGTTGCCAATGTACAGGTGTTCACTGCCAGAAGCCAAGATATTTGCGTCTGAATGTATTGGTGGTTCCTGGTGCATAGAAAGGCTGTGTGCGAATTGGTTGCCAATTTCACTTACAAATTAGTCTATCAACACATTACAGAGATCTAAATCGCAATTTGAGTCATTTGATGCTATAGGTGCTATGCCAATTGCAAAGATTTATCACGGTTTAGAGCTCCTCAGCATGCTCCAGAAGAATTTCTTACAGCCCATTTGTGAGATCCATGTAATGGAATTGTGGTAAAGGGTAGCAATCCCCTTTTTAGGGGATTGCTACCCTTTACAATACCAAAACAAAGGGAATGGGAATCTGACTCAACATACAGGAGTTGGCTTCCCAGCAGCCATATCTCGGCCAAAGCTTCTAATTGACCTGGATTAAGCAGTTGAGTAAATTTGTTAACTATTGGATTTAGGATCTCTAGAATATCAACGTGGCTGGCATGTCAGGTTGTCCTACACAGGTCCTTCCACCATGTTGAAGGCAGATGTCCATCAAATAGCTGCATAATTCCAGTTGGTATATTTTCATATACCATGTATGAAATGGAGCTGATGAAGAGTGTCTATGAAAAGTCTTTTACTGCTTTAACGGCAACAACAAAAAAAATCGTATAGCACCTTTCATGTCGGGGGTATGTCCCAGGGAGCTGGGCAGCTAGTGTTTTGGACCCAAGCTGGGGTGGGAGGGAAGGAGGATGACTGAAAGCGCGGTCAAAGGAGGGACTTGAAGGGGGCGAAGGGACTGTGGGATGGAGTTCCAGAGGTTTAAAAACTAGTTTGTATGATTTGGGTTTATTTGAATTTCATTCTGTTCCAGTTAATTCTGTAAGCTGGAGCCCTAATTAGTGTGACTCCAGCTGGACAAGAAGTAGGTCCTGTTGGTAAATGGAGCAATTTGTAACTGGTTGAATTCCTAACATCACTCCTCTGCACTCCCAGTGTGCATCTTACAAGACGTTCTAAGTGTATTTGTCAAGTTTGGGCCTGGTAAAAGTTTGGGCTGCAGATGTGTTGAGAGTAGCCTACCTCTGTTGTACAAGTAGTTTGCAGAGTATGGAGTTGCTTTAAGGTTGCATTATAATGGGCCTTTGGTGTATAGTGAATATGCATCTCATGAGGAACAGAGGCTGAAGGCTAAGTATTTTATTTTGTATAAAATTTAAGTATACAGGCAGTAATGTTGGAAATGCATTGTTTTAAAATTGATCACGTACGATACAGGTATTTACATCTGTTATCACCATGTTTTATACCAATGTTGAGTACATTTTCTATAACAAGGGAAGCATCGTAATCATTTGTTTTGCACCAGCTTCACATTCATGGAAGAAGTTTGTTCTTTAAACTGATGAGCATCATATGAATTGTGTGATTTCCAGGAAGACTTGATCCAGCAAGATGTTCTTTATTTGCATTAAATGTCTTTAATGGAATGTGAATGCATTTCAAATTCCACTTGTGCAGCAATGCTTCAATTGACCAATCCGCACTAAAAGAGACAATTTATAAGAAGCAATAAATATGTAAAAAATAACAATTCTTACAAAATAATTAAGATTTTTAATATAGTTCAAGATGAATGTATAACTATTCTCAGATTTGTAAAGGGATATTGCAGCATTGTCCAATTAGTAAGGGTTGTTATTGGCTTAGTCCTGGAACAGGATATCCAGCCCCAGTGTGTGTGAAAATAATGAACTAGAAAAGAATCAATGGACCAAAGTTTCCAATTTATCTTCCACAATAATTTAATGTATACATGGCCAACCGAGGTAAAATTGCCCTTACAATAGATAACACAATGGTTCAATGTCTCTTCTGAAGTCCTATCTCTCCTGGGCTCTTAACATCTAATTCATCTTGGGAAATTCATTTTAACATGATACTACATTTCATATCTAGTAATGTATTTTTAAGATGGAGAAGTGCTTTTCCATCTTTTACTCCTGGTCTAGAGCTTTTCCATTTTGGTAGCTCCAGATGAATTTTATTCTCCATAAGAAATATTAAGGCAATATCTCTTTTAACTAAAATACAATTTTGAAACCCAAACAACCTTATTAACATATGTGTTAGGGTTATCATGGTTGTGATGTGAAAAAGTAATACCAGACTATTAGATCTTTATGGGAGATACGTCTGCAACATGTGTTAGTTAAATGAAGTTTTAAATCGGCCACTGAGCATATTACATCATGCATTATAATGTACGCATTTAATTTCTCATGAACCTGTTAGGACAGGTGTTTGACCTTGAGTTCCTTTTTCTAAACTGCATTTTTGCTGCTCAATTGACCCATCAAGGGTTGGACTGGTGACCAAGCCCCACCAAAGGCAGTTTTATCCTTTAGATAGATTGTTCTAACTGGGACTGCTGAAATCTGCATCCAAATAACAGCAACTTGAGTGAAATTTCCAGTTGAGGTGGATTTAAACTGTTCCCCTAATTTGAAATCCAGTATTCAGTGCCTTGGGACGTCCTTCCGATGTGAAAGGCACTCTATAAATGTAGTTTGTTTGTTCTACTATTGCAGAAGAGGACTCACTGCTCCAAGCAAAGTTCACTTAAAACAATGGCATTTTATAAGATCATCTGGCCATAATCACCTTCGTTTTAAATATAATATGAAAAACAAAATAGTTCAAATACAGACCTACTGCTGCAGCAATTAAAAAAAAACTCGCCTGCGTTCCTGATATGTGGTCCAAAACACAGCATTTGGATTTTTTTGCATGAGGTAGAAAACCGTTGTCAACACAGCTTCGAAATCTAGAGAGATCAAGAGATTGAATAGACAACTTAAGAATTTTCCTTCTAAGTTCATGTTTTCTTACATATGCATTTTGAGCAATTATTTTTGACGGTTGTATAGAAACCTATTGATGCATTAAAGGAATCTTGTTCATATTTCGATGGGTTGGCTTAGTGGACAAAAGCCCATTCTTAACTGAATTTTTAGATTAAAGAATGACACTCTAAATTCACATGGAAAATATATCATTCCAGCTCTTCAGTGTCTAGAATCGTTTGTACAGAGGACGTTACACCAGGATCTTGTCTGCAATAATGTTAACAAGGGTAGATGCCTCACAAAACACGTACCATAGTAGTTGCAGAGAACCCTTTTTGGGGGAAAAAAATTTGAGGAGCAATATAAGTGAGTAAATCTTCACCTCCATAAAACATTTCCACCAGTTGATATTTGTAGAAATCATCTGTTGGCTTGGTAAGCCAAATCAGTATGGTGCATTTATGCAGCCTGAAAATATAGCCTTTCCTTGGGAGAAGCTTGGGGTGTTATCTGTTGAAAATTATAATTGGGCTCTTGTTCAATACACAATATTCTGAGAACTGAAAAAATGCTTACTGATGCACATACTGGAAAGGTTTTACAAGACTTGGCAAAAGGGGGTATGATATACATTCTGATCATATCAAGTTTGTCCCATGAAGGGAATCAGCAGCGTGGCTGTAATCTCCAATTACATGACATTTGTCCTTTGTAGGTTTATGAAAAGGAGTGTTCTATTTATAATTATACTTGCTCTAGTTACAACTGGGATTTGGGCGTATTTTTTCCAAAAAGTATATAACTTCTGACTGATTGGTCTTGTAGTGAGATTGTTAAATAATTTCTAGAAGAGGATTGAAATTAGGTGGGTAATTTGAATAAAAAAGAAATGTCAGATTGTTCATTTTAAAAGAAAAAGTGGTTTAAGTAGGGCTTCTGGATGCTGCTGCAAAATCAATCAGTATTGAAAAAAAAATCAACTTTTCACTGAAATTAATTGTATGTTGCGAGAGGTATCACTATACACTTAAGCCATGGTACAAGAATTGAACTGATCAAATATTTCTGCGTATGCTCAGAACTGAAGAATAGTCAGAGGATGTCTTAAATCTGTACCTTCGGGTTGATAAAACACATCAGATCCCAGAATGATGTCCACTTTTGGCAGTAGCAGCAGATGAGGAGATATCAGCCCCCAGCTTATTCCGATTACAGGCACATCTACAAGGTTATTTATCTTGCAGCTCCTGCGGCAGTTATCCAAACAATTCTGAAGCTCAGAACAATCTGATAAAATAACTTTAGCTCTACATTTTGCTGCCACAATACCAGGTAAGCTTGCACCTGCTCCAATCTAGGTGGGAAAAGCATGAATTACTATTCCTTGATGATATTAAACTATTTGTACTTGTACACGACCTGAAAGCAGATATGATAATGGCTTTCAAAAGGCAATTGGATAAGTGATTAAAAAGGAGAAATTATCAGGGCTATAGGATAAGATTGGGGAGTGGGACAAGTTGGTAGCTCTTTTAAAGAGCTGGGGTGGGCCGATGGCCTCTTGTGCTGTAAGATTCGATGATCTAGGTGGAATGAAGAAAATCTAATTTACAGAATTGGTTCTAAAAACAAATTAATTGAATCTAGCAAAAATGTTAATAAATCTGAGAATGAAAGCAGCATAAATTGTAAAAGCAATGACATTCCGTTGTTGAAAAATGTCATGAACATTATTACTCCATTATTACTTTCATAGAAAACACATTAACCAAAAAATATCAAAAGCTCTTATTGCAAATTTTATTCGGGCTGGAAAGAAAACAACTGATGTAAAATAGATCTGATTTTTAAAAAGTAAAAAATAACTTGCGTCAATTAAAATTTCCAAAAAGTTTTGGTCTTAAAATGGCCTTTTGGGTTTTGATCACAAGAGGGCGCTCACTTCCTACTCAGAACGAATGAACTTTCTATTAAATATTTTGTAATAGCTAATAATTTATTGCAGGAAACATTTTTTTTAAAAAAGTTACCTCTAACACGGTCTTTCCTATTACTGCTCTTCTATAAAACCATATGTATTGTGCCAGGACCACCGCACATGGCCACACATACATGCCATATTGAGGATCCAGTACCTGAAACGGGAAGCAGTGAAAAGTGCTGTTTGATTCCAATCTCAACATGTAATAGTTAGTGATGAATATAGTCTTCATATTAAAATTTACAACTATTATGATCTCTACTGAATTGTATGAAAATTAATAATCCATATACAATATTTGGTGAAGCGTCTTTCAAGTTAAGCCATCCCAAAGTGCTTCACATGAACATACTGTGAAATGAAGTGACTATCTGTAAGCAAACACAGCAGTGCAATTCAGCCCAGCAATGTAACACAAACAGCCATGAAAGTGAACAATTTTATTTGGGGAATTGTTGGTCACCATACTGGGGAAAGACTACTTCCTCTTTGAATACTGCCATGGGGTGCTTAATGTCCATCACAGGCAGACATCTGATGTATCATCCAAAGGATGGCACCTCCGACAATACAACAGCCAGCACCCCCCACCCCGGTGCTGCAATGGGAGTATCAGTTTAAATTTCCAAAGTGGGATTTGAACCCTCAATCTTGACTTAGATGCGAGAGTGCTACCACTGAGCCGGCTGACACAACTAACTCCCAACCTCCCCTCCTGAAGAGGCTGGCCCATTTGTGGTTCCTGATCCAGTACCTCTCCAAAAAATGCCATTCTTCGTGTGGAAGTCCAGACAGAGTGTCTCTGAGGATAAATGTTCCTGATCCCTCCCATCCTTGCCCACCATTTACACTTTCTAGTGGAGGTCACTGGGTAGCAATGTGGAATGAAAATTTCCCAACAGGACAAAGCTGATTAAAAGGCCGACTGTTTTCTGTATGACCTCCATTAATTAATGCCTCTCTGACCTCCTCATGCTCTCATCCACCACCCGGTGCTTCTGCTTGACGAGCACCGTCCTGTTTGCCCTTCATACCCACCACTCCACTATTGGAGGTCAAACATTAAGCCTCTACACCCCAAACTCTAAAATTCTTTCAATCCCTCCAACTTGTCCTCTCTCTCACCTTTTTCAAGTCCCGCCTGAAAACCTGCCTTTTCAACCGTGCTTACAATCACTTCCCGCTGGCTCGGAGCCAGGCTCAACCACTGTGAAGCATTCTGAGGTTCTACCCTGTGTGGAGGGCACAATATAAGTGCAAGTTGTTGTTGATACAGACTTTTTGTTTTTAAAACAACCTGTCTTGCAATTTAGATTTGATGCAATATTCTGCACTACATCCTGAAAGGAGGGGAAAAAAAGGCTACGAGTGGGAAAAGATGATCACTGGGATCCAGTAGAACACTTTTAAATTAGGATGGCCAACAAAGCACCAAAAAAAGGACCTAACAGCAGACAGAAGTACACTAAAAATAACATCCAACATCCAATACGTCATTTGAGCTCCGAGACTGGCATTAATGAAATGGGTTCCAGGCAAACTCAAACAGCTAAACAATAAATCCCCTAGAGATGAATGAATTTTACCCCAGAGTAAAACATCATTTTACTGATAGTGAAACCATCATTACTTGTGGGGGTGGACTGCTCCTAGTTGCCACAGTAATGAGAACGGCACATAGTATTCCCTGACTAGAATGTTGTACAGCTTCAGTATGACTTGAATCTGAACTCATTTGCCACCAACATACAATATTTGGTTCACTTTGTGCCTCACGCTGTTTAATCAACAGGTGGCTAACACCTTTGCTCTTGACTTTTCCCTTTGTGGGTTTTATTAGTTTTTTTTAAAAAAAGTCTTCTGTGCGTTTTCCTAGAGAACAGCTTGAACAGCTAATGATTAATCTTTTGAATGATATTTGTTCCCATTGATTGCTGAATATATTATGATCAACATTCCTTATACTTCCCCTTAATGTCAAAGGGCAACTTTTAATCTAAAGCTGCACCTGCTTCTAGTTTAGGTATACATGGATGTAGCCATCTTGATTTGTATTGTACTGAAAGCAAACCTGCCAGGTTTTTTCCCATAAGAGATGGCAATCGTTTTAGATTGCTTTTAAAATTAAATACATTCTAACATAAATCTTAAATTCCTCTTTAAAGCGGAGAAGCTTGCAAGGCGTGATTTCTTTGAGTCCTTGATTAACAGTCCTTGCACGACGGCAGAGCGCCTCAGAACGTTTCACGGGAGTTTCCCGTGAAGTCCAGTGACTGTTCACTTGAATGAGACTCAACTGCCCGACCAGGTGAGGGTTGGAGGGTGTGGCATTGTTGGAGGTGCCACCTTCGGATGCGATGTCCTGTCTGCCTGCTCAGGTCCTACCCCCTGGCCAACAATCCCCCAAATTCAATTGGGTCCCCCTCCTCCCCCTCTCCACGGCTGTGTCGGCCCTTGCTGTGCTGTGCGCGCACGAGGTTCCTCTCGCAAAATACGCACTCAATCCACTTTACAGTATCGAAACGCAAAAGGCTGCGGACGCTGGAACCTGAAACAAAGATGGGGGGCGAGAGAGGGAGGGAGAGCGCTGGGAACGGTCAGCCGGTCGGGCAGCGTCTACGGAGAAGGGAAAGCGAGTCAGCGTTTCGGGTCCACGGCCCTTCGTCGGAACTCGCCCGACGGAACCGTTCGGACGAGGCCCCGGGGCTGGGACGCGGGACGCTTCGCCCGCAAAGAGGTGCGGCCGGTTCACTCGCGCGCGGAGCGCCTTGAGGCGTCTCGAAGGCGCGGGAAGGCCCCGCGTTCCGAGCGCAAGGCCCGGCTGGTGACGGAACAGGCTCGAGGGGCTGAATGGCCTCCTCATCAACAACCACAACCACCAGATTTCGTTTACAGAGCGCCTTTCACGTCGGGAGGACGTCCCAAGGCGCTGGACAGTTGGGACCCGAGGATTGGGGGAGGGGAGGGAGGGGGTAGAGAGTCGAGAGAGGAGCCGAAGACACGTATGTTTCTATCCCCCCGTAAGCTCTGTGCACCATCGAACCTCTCCCAACATGAGGAAGGGGAGAAAATCATGTAGACCTCGGCAACGGCGACCTCCAGCACCTCACGGCCGCCGCTCGGCTCCTGACGGACGAATGCGAACCGCTTCGTGCCGCTCCGCGCGCTCATCTCCTCTCCTCCCCCACCCCCGGCGGCGTCGGATGACGTAGTGAGTGACAGTTGGCCGCGACGGGGCGAACCAATGGGAGAGGCGCGCGATACCCTGCCTTCCCGCGCGCTCTCGCTCCACCGTCACGTTGATGGACTGGGGCAGCGACCAATCACGGGCCGCACCGATCCAATTAGGTGGGTGGGTGGAGCAAGGCGTGCACGAAACCAGATGATTGGCAGGAACGCGCCCAATCAGGCCGCACGACGTGCGGAAAGGGCGGGACTTCCGTCGCTCGGCGTGTGTGGGGGGGGGGGGAGGGTTGATTGACGGGCGCGAGGAAGGGAGGGCGCGAGCGGCGTGAAACTTCTGGAAGGGCCGAGCCTCCGAGAAGGAAAGGGTTGTCTGAGGCTCATGTGGCGGCGGCGAAGGACGTGGTGAAGAAGAAGCGGAGGAGGAGGACGAGGGAGGAGAGTGAGAGAGAGGAGGGAGGGAGGGAAGGAAGGGAGGAGGGGGGAAAAGGGGGCCGTTTTCAAGGGGTTTGTGAGGGGCGAGAGCCTGACAGGACCCGACCCGACCCCGGGGGGAAGGGAATGAATCACAAGGCCAAGAAGCGCATCAGGGAGGCCAAGCGCAGCGCCCGCCCCGAGCTGAAGGATTCCTACGACTGGACCAAGCACAACTACTCGGAGACTTACCCTTTGGCCCACAGCACCGTGAAGGTAAAAGGAGGCTGCGGCGCCCGCTGTGTGTATGAGGGAGGGGTGGGGGGAGGAGAGAGAGGGGAGGCTTCACACACACACACACACAGGCAACGCGCCGAGCCGCACGTACACACACACGTGTGTGTCCCCCCCCCCCCACACACCGGCCGCGAGGTTACACCGAAACGGAAGGGGTGGTGGTGGGGGGGGGTGGGAAGGTATGAGGCCGCATGAGGATGGTCACCACACACACACACCTCACCCATCCTCATGGGCGACGGCCCTTCGAGTACCTTATGGGACGGGATTGGGGCACACTTGTGGGGTGTGTGTCGGGGGGGGGGAATGTTCAGCCCCTCTCGCTTGTCCAAGGGGGCAAAGATCACACTCCATCCAGAGTGGAGTTGCACCCTCAGAGACTCTGGCCCACCCACCTCTGTGAGCAAGTAAGTGGCTCTGGTTGTGCCTTATCTCCCAGGAAATGGCATCTGACCTCCTTGCAGAATTCCCCTGATTTGTTTTATATGCGTCATTGATATATATATATATCAATATATAAACAGTGTGTATGTTCGCACGGTTCCATTTCCGCCCTCTCCCTCCTCCCCAAGGGCTTCTCTCCCGGGCATCGCCCGCTCTCTTGCTTTAAGATTTACTGCAGAGATGTGCACTTTCACTGTAAAGAGACACCTTCCATTCCTGTGTGTGTTTTCGCACATGAGGTTTTGGCACAGATCAAATGGCAGTCAAGGCACTGATCCTGATCCCTGACTATTCAGCGCCTTGGGGTGAAAGGTGCTTTACAGATGTAATTTTGTTGTTGTCATTAGCAAGTCTTCAATTCAACAACTTACATTTATATATAGTCCTTTCCACCAAATGGCGTGTTGGAACGCTTAACAGTAGTGGAGCCTGATGCTGGGGGAGGGGGAGGTGACCGTAGGCACGGTCAGGCTTCAAGCGTGACCTGAAAATGCGAAGAGTGCGGTCAAGATAAAGGGATTGATGGAGAGAGTTCCAGAGCTTTGGGGTGTAGCGGCTGAAATCACAGCTGCCGATGGTGGGGTGGAGGGTCCGGGGACAAGGAGGAGGCCAGAGCCAGTCAAGCGGAGGCAGAGGGTATTAGTGCAGGAAGAGAGCAAGTTGGAGAGATGGCATGGGGGTGCCAGGGTCTGAACGCATTTAAGTACAAGAGTGAAGATCTTGAAATTGATCCGTTCTGTGACATTCACTACTGTTTGACACCTCATCCATGGAGTGTCAGTCTGGCTCAGTTCCGAAGTTGTAGGGTCGCAGATGTGCTAAAAAATTTGAGATTGGATATAAAAGACAGAAAAAGAGAGAGTGAGATGGAGTGGTCAGGGGAGGGTGTAGGAACTGAAGGCTTGGCCACTGGTGGTGGTATAGAGGGGGCACACAGCAAGCCCAAGTTAGTTGAGCGGAGAAATGAGGTAGGAGAAGACTGGAGAGACAAGAAGCTGAGATGTTAAACTGAGATCTTGTCCATCTGTTTGAGGGATTTTGCTGTACACAAATTGGTTGTCGCTTACACAAAGTGTAGTGACTACAAATCCAGTCACTGCACTTTACAGTAAATCTTGTGAAGTTTTTTATGTCATAACATGCTATATCAAATGCAAAGTTTATTATTAGATAAATACATGCTTATTAGGTTGTGTTAGATACCGATGTGACCTTTGCAGTCACGCTTCAAATGAAATTATGATTTGTGCAAAATATATTGGATTAAACTGCTTGATACCATACAGTCATAAATTTTCAACTGGTCCTTTCATAATTATGAACCTATTTTTCAAAAAAGATAAACAGCTAAATTAGAAGAGTTGGACTTACTTTGACATCCCTTACAGAAAATGTGACCTGAGATTGTTTGAGGTATTACTGTATCTACCATACGATTGATCTGTTATGGGTCTTCAATTCTGTGCAAGAAACTGATATATTATACTCAGTGGGTAACTCTTGATTGGTACTAATTTGTGTTGCAAATATTGTATAAAGAAACATTAAAAACATTCAAAAAAGGTTGGGGAGTTTGATCTGACCTGATTCAACTTGCTTCAGTTGCCTGGCATCTTGTGAGAAGTAGTTTTATAATTTTTCCTTTATGAAAGATTACACAACCTGCGATTGCTGCCTTCATTTAGTGATAAATTTGGCTAATGTAAATTCTGACTTTTTGCCATATTCATATAGTAATTAGAAATGAGAACCCTTATCGACTTTTCGCCTCGCTAAACCAGAGTGCTGAGGCCAATTGTACCCTGCTGCCTGAGCCTGCCTGAGATGAGTTGATGAGGCACAGATCAGAGATGAAACCGAGGACTTTTTAATCACTGCAGCTTTGTCACTGATAAATATGCCAAGCCCTTGAGGAAGGGGAAGCTGGGAGATGTTTGAAAAATTGTTCCAGTTATGCATAAAGCTGAAATAATGTAGTGAAATTGCATTTCCTAATTGCCGTAGCTTCAGAAGCATACCGTCATCTTACTATGAACATATTTTTCTTTTGCTGAAGGACAACGTAGAGAGGGCGGACACCCTCCACCTCTCTGTTGAAGAATTTATTGAGAAGTATGAGAAGCCGTACAAACCTGTCGTGCTGCTCAATGCTCAGTGTGGCTGGGCAGCACAAGAAAAGTGGACCCTAGAACGATTGAAACGCAAGTACCGAAATCAAAAGTTCAAGTGTGGGGAAGATAACGATGGCTACTCAGTGAAAATGAAGATGAAGTATTATGCTGACTACATGGAAACATCAAAGGATGATAGTCCTCTGTACATTTTTGACAGCAGTTATGGGGAACATCCTAAAAGAAGCAAACTTTTGGAGGATTATGAAGTGCCAAGGTTTTTCACAGATGATTTATTCCAGTTTGCAGGGGAGAAGCGCAGGCCTCCATACAGGTAACAGCACTTAAGCGATAAACCTCTGTGGCTACTCGTTAAAAGAGAACAGTGCTGCCAGGGAGCAAACTAGCAGTGTGAAGCTCTTGCCACCTCTGTATCCTGCAGCCTTTGTGTTCTATATCTCTACTGTTACAGAATAATCCTTAGTTGAGGGCTCTTCTAGAGCCCTGGAGATTGACATTTCATCCAGCTGGAAGTGAAGTGGATGTGCTCTGCCGATGTCAGGTAGGGGATCCTTGTGGAGCATGTTCATCGGCCTACTGTGCTGTTGGTCTTTTTTTTAATGGACGAAGTGGCAGGCCGTCTTTTGTCTTTTTCATACAGTTTCTATTCACTTTTGCAACACGCAAAAGGGGGGAAAACTTGCATAGGATTGTGTTGAGAAGAAAAAGATTGAACCATGAAAGTGGAAACAATTCAAAAGAATATCCTTCCCGGTTTCCTGATTTCTTTACGAAAAAGAATAAAGAAAAGTTTGTTGAAACGTACAGGTGTCTTAATAAAAGGGCCAATTATCTCAGGTTGCCTCTGTGCTTTTTGTTGCAAGATCTGTTTAGAGTGATTATTATTGTACAAAATGAGAACAAAATATACAAGGATATTGTTTCAAAGAGGAATGTTTTGGCTGTTGTTCCATACACATCAGTAGTGATGTCAGAATCTGACTTAGAAAGGTGATATTAGAATATAGAAAGATATAATAATAATCCTTGCATTTGATATAGCGCCTGATTACATCTTCGACATGTCTCAAAGCGCTTCACAGGATATACTGTAAAGTGGATTGACTGTATTTTGTGGATGAAATGCAGCACGATAAATGTAAAAAAAACAATCCCTGTGTTTTCTTTTTTTTAGATGGTTTGTTATGGGCCCCCCTAGGTCTGGAACGGGTGTCCATATTGATCCTTTAGGAACAAGTGCTTGGAATGCTCTAGTCCAGGGTCACAAACGTTGGTGCTTGTTCCCTACAAATACACCTCGGGAACTTATCAAAGTGACAAGAGAAGAAGGTGGAAACCAACAGGATGAAGCCATCACGTGGTTCATCGTTATCTATCCTCGGACACAACTTCCGACCTGGCCTCAGGAATTTAAACCTTTAGAAATCCTCCAGAAGCCTGGGGAGACAGTTTTTGTGCCAGGTGACTTTTTTTTGCAGATTACTTAACAGTAGTTAGGTCGCAAGTAGTTGTGGGGCTCCTATGTTTGATGGGCTGGTGTTCGGTTGGACTTCCATCTGTTATAGATTCTGTGGTAGTATTGCTTCACCAACAGTCTTAATATGCTGTTGCCTCCCCTTTTATTCAGGGGGCATGACCATGAAGCGAAGTAGAATTGTTGAAGAGCAGTGACTTAGTGTGCGAAGGATAGGCAATGTTTCTTTAATTGTATGTATTTGCACTAGATTAGCAAATACATTTATAGGTCTTGACATTTAAGTAATTGCAACAAGATGATGTTGCTCCGATAGTGATTTGTAAAATATGTCTCAGTGGTGATAGGCTCTGACTTTTGAGCTCTCAAGGTAAGTGGGATCAGTGCTGAGACCATATGTATACAATTCTGAAATTTTTGGGTGTAAGCTGTTCATCATTTTGTGTTAATTGTGTTTTGCGGCATTTTCTTGAAAGAGGCAGTAGTATAATTTATGATTGGCATTTTTGGAGGAGGAGAGGGGAGTAAGAAAGTATATCCGGTGGCTTTAGAGAACCAGAGCCTATCCATTATTGAAATGTAGTCAGTGGGTTAAAATGTGATTATAATGTGACAATTGATGAATAAAATCCTTGATTTTAAGCAATTTAAGCACTGTGCACCTTATCCTGAGTGTGAGTAAAACTAATTGGAAAAGCCCTGTAATTTTATTAACTCTGTAATTAAAAATTTGAAAGAGCAGTGTAGTGGAGTGAACTCCCACCTGTTAGATTGTATTGTTTTGATTTCCACTGAATTTCTTTCTAGTTAGTTTTTGAGCTTCATTATTACTATTTCACCATTGTAAAAATACCAGTTAAAGAGAAAATATTTTAAGCAGTCATTTCATAACCCAATTGCATAAGTGAACACATTCAACTGTCACACTTCTTTTCTTGTCCATTTTGTTAATAAAGAATAAATTGATATAATTGATATAACATTTGATCTTGGCTGCTCAACAAAACTGTAATCCAGGAATTATTGCCTTGGGGCTGTTGTTTTAGAATGAGAAAGATGACCATAATAAATATAATGCTGAAATAGTTGGAATTTAGAAATGGTTCCTGTTTTTCAGGTGGCTGGTGGCATGTGGTTCTCAATATGGATTATACCATTGCTGTCACTCAGAACTTTGCCAGTGCAACCAATTTTCCCGTGGTGTGGCACAAAACAGTGAGGGGGCGTCCAAAGCTTTCCCGGAAGTGGTACAGGTAAATTCAGATGATTGAGATTGACTGTCACAGCCCCATTTAATTGCAATCAATTATGCAGGTTCAGCGATGGACCAAATTGCATATGGATTGGTTGAGAAGGAGTGGCTGTAAGGGAGCTTCAACACAGCCTACCTGTTAGAATTCTCTTGTTCCATGTTTATTTTTAATTTAATCTGTTAGTTTTTCCTCCCCCTTCACTCTCTGCACCCTTGCTTATTTCGCTAAATAGATGCGTTTGAAACAATTGTGACTGTTTAAAGTTCTGAGAACTAGGTGTTAGTTATCTGTCATGTCAGCTACGAAATGAGTGTTTAATTCTGCTCTACATTCACTTATGACTTGGCCTCCGCAGTCTTTAACAAATCTTTTGTCTAATTCAAAAGAAAACCCGGATTCTATTCATAACCTTTATGATGGATTAGATTGTGTCATTGTAAAACTAATGAGGAGCACCCATTCAATACAGTTTTCCTGTTTGTCCGTCATCCTTCAACATTGAAGGAATATGTACCTCGTAAGCATGTGTAATTCTGAACATCTTTCCTCAAGTATGTGTGTGTGCTTGAAGACAGTGTGTCCTATTTCCAGCTCTATGCCAGACTGCTGTTGAACCTCCTGTTGGGAAGTATGAGAGCATGACCCATGGGGCCTTGTGCTCCTTATTTTTTTTCCTTACGTCTAGGGAATTAATTCCCTGACCTCTGCTTCATATCTCTCTTGACAGTATAGCTGACATCAGGAGCTTTAGAATCATGGTGAAATCATACATCCTACCATGCCATGGCACACAAAACATTTACCTTTTAAAGAGGAATAAACTAGGGGTACGCACCATCACTGAGAAGTACCTACCATAGTGTTCCTCCCTAATTTTTGAATTTTTTTTCAAACTTTTAAAATCTCCTGTAATTCACTTCCATTGAACTCCATTAAAGATATCTTAGATATATGGAGAGGAAAGAGTAGTAAAAGGCCCTTAGGTGCACCCCCAGGATGTGTCCTTCATTTTTTCCCCTCGACATGAATATTGTTTGCAAGGTAGTGTAATTTGGGTGCCTATTTCAGATGTCCACCGCACTGAAGCTGAAAGTGATCTTTCTCTAGCTTGAAGGCGTGACCTCTAGTTGTGGAACATACATTGACAATGATGGTCTTGCCGTCTGTCATTCTATTGATCACTTGCAGCATTTTGATTACCTTTACAAGATCGCCTTTGAAACTCCTTTGCTCCAACAATAATCGGCTCAGTTCCTCACATCTTCACTATAGAGACGCCTTCTAAAGAATGAAATCAAGGTTTGGGCTTCCTCTGTGTCTTCTCCAATGTCTCCACATGCTCCGGAACTACGGCACTACCTCAACCCTCACGCTGCTGAAACACTGGTCCACGCCTTTATCACCTCAAGGCTGGACTATGGGAACTCTCTCCTCGTCGGCCTTCCTGGCACCTCCCTCCACAAGCTGCAGGCCATTCAGAACTCTGCAGCTCGTGTACTGTCCCGCACCAGGCTTCGGGACCACATCACTGTCGCCCTCGCTCTCCTCCATTGGCTCCCCATCCCCCAGGGGATCGAATTCAAGATCCTCATCCTCACCTACAAGGCCATTCACGGCCTTGCTACCTCCTACCTCTTCGACCTACTATCCCCCTTCTTACCTGCCCGTACCCTCCGTTCCTCTGGCTCCGGTCTGCTCCACATCCCCCGGGCCTTCAGCCTCTCAGCCCCTAGGCTCTGGAACTCTATCCCCCAGTGCCTTTGCTGCTTCCTCCCTTTTCTCCTTCAAGGCCGGTCTCAAGACCTTTCTCTTCGACCGTGCCTTCAGCTCCCCTCTCGACTCTCTACCCCCTCCTCGCTCCCTCCCCTTACCCTGACCACTTCCCTCCTGCTCAGGTCCCGACCCAACTGTGCAGCGCCTTGGGACGTCCTCCTGACGTGAAAGGCGCTTTATAAATGGAATCTTGTTGTTGTTGTTGTTGCTCGGGTCATGACCCAACTGTGCAGCGCCTTGGGACGTCCTCCTGACGTGAAAGGCGCTTTATAAATGGAATCTTGTTGTTGTTGTTGTTGCTCAGGTCCCGACCCAACTGTCCAACGTCCTCCTAAGGTGAAAGGCGCTCTATAAATGAAATCTTGTTGTTGTTTATCGTGTGCCTAGGCTGGTAGTTCTTGAGATGGGATTGCACGAGAGCATGGTGTCAAACATTTCTTGTAGTCAAATAACGTGTAGTCTGTTCTCTGTGCTATTTATCCCAGCATTCAGCTGACTCTGACAATAGTTGCCACGCACTGTTTTTTGAGCCTTCAGACTGTTATAGTCCTGATGCCTCAAGGACCTGTGAGATGGTTACCTCCTGCAGGCTCTCCACAAGTTTACTATTTACTAAAAGCACCATGTGCTCCACTCTTCAGTCTCCTGGAACCTTCCATGTTATTAGGGAGTTGAGGCAAGAACTTGCTTGTTGTCTCCCACAGTTCTCTCAAAACGCTGGAATGTATAATCGCGGAATGGTTTCAATTTTGAGCATTGGTTTGCTCAAACACCAGATCTAGGATGTTCTTCTCCCCACCCCTCCCCCCCCCCACCCCCCACCCCCGCTCCCTGGGCAATGCTATCACGCTGCACTAAAAGATATTGTCATAGACATCTGCCAACAGCTTCTGTGTAGCCACCCTGCATGGACCTTTCAAATCTTGTCCCCAAGTGAATGATTTACTGGCAGAATGACAGACGATCCTTATTTTGTCCTTGTCGTCTTATCAACATTTTGGTGACCCCCATCCCCTCCCATGAAATCCATTGTTTCCCTGACAGACACCGCCTCAAGTTCCAGCATCTTATTTCTATTAGCTTCAACTGCAAGTATTATTATCTAAGTCGACTGACCTCAGCTCTTTATTGGTGACACTGGGTATATTCCACTTCTATATTTGGACATTTTGTATGGTTTTGCACCAAAAAAGATAAGTTCCTGTTTGAAGCCCTTCATTCACAACCATTACACTGAGCCTGGTACTGTACAGGAATCATTTGATGTGTGACCATCATCAACCCTGAAAGCAAAGCTTATTGAGCTGTCAGCCATAGTGGAGCCAGCTACTGTGACTCTGATAGATAGCAGACATTTAGCTATCTTACCATTTCTATGGCTTTGTTCATCTTGTTGGCAGTACCTCCCTGATCTGCTCACTGTCTGGTGTATATTCTGGAGTAGGAGGGTGTGTGGCTTTCACTTACACGACTCAGCATAAACTGAAATATAGATTAAATGATGTCTGCAATTTAAAGGATTTTAGAGAATAGCAACACAAAATATGCAGTCAATTCACTTTACAGTATATTCTGGGAAGCACTTTGAGATGTCTCAAAGACATGATAAGGTGCTACATCAAATGCAAGGATTATTATTAATAGAAAAAAAGTTATCTGAGGCGTCAGCAGCGAGCCAGTTTGGCCACCGTGTAAATGTGTTACTTATAATGTATGTATCAGTTTGTCATCAAGTACATGATGCATCAGCATCCAGCAGATGCGAAGAAACACAGGACATTACTTTTGTCAATTGGTTTTACTAAATGTATAATAACCAGTACAACATCCTTGCTTATGTAATGCTATGATTCTGCAAGTTCTGTGCAGGCGCATAAGCTTACCTGGAAAACTCCAGGTATTGTGTTTTAAATTGAGGTTGCACAAAGAGTTTCAGCCTCTCTAGTTGACCAGGGTCAGCCTTGTGCAGCATAGTGCAAACCCATCTTACCATGACTCCAGTCGGTGTAACTGCTTGGATTTCAGATGCTAGAACCTCAGAGTAAGTTGCCTCTTCCATTGTGAGTCAGCCAGCAACGAGACTGAGCTGTAAAGCAAAGCATCTGTACAAGCAAAACTTTTGAGTAGGTGAAGATGGCGTGAGTTTGCGAACGGTATGGTACTTGGTGTGAACATTTCCAAGGGTATGTATCCTGTAGCATGGAAGATCCAAGTATTTTGTACTTGTTCTTGCAGGATTTTAAAGCAGGAGCGCCCGGAGCTTGCTGTGGCAGCAGATTTAGTTGACTTACAGGAATCGACAGGTATTGCATCAGACAGTTCCAGCGACTCCTCTAGTTCCTCGAGCTCCAGTTCCTCAGATTCCAACTCCGAGGTGAGGACTGCTTTTCCTTTACGCAATGTTTAAACCTTGTTTTATTTTTAATATTTCTCTGCAAAATGGTAGGAAAAATATCAAGAAATGGCTCAGCAGGAAAGTAAGATACAACACAAAATTACATTTGTATAGCGCCTTTCATGTCGGAAGGGCATCCCAAGATGCTGAAGGTATACATCAGGTCAGTTGGCAGATGCCAGCTTCTCAGATGAGAAGGAAAATTGTTTAATGATTTTGGACCTGTCTGAAGCCCTTTCAAAATTGGATCTCCATTTATACAGTATTGCCAAACATACTGACTGACTTCACTTTCAAGACAAAACTAAGCTGTATTAAACTCTTAGTACAAATAGTCACCCAACTGTTCATTCCAATACCCCCAAACTAGTTTTAAAGAGAAAGTCTAAGCATGAAGCATCTCATTCTTTGAACACAATATAGGATCTTCAACTGCAGGACTGAGAACGGTAAAGGTGCTGCGATTGCTAATTGTCTTGCATCTGTATGTTGTGTTGTATTAAGCAATTACTGTCTACAAAATATCTGGCTTCAAATGATCTTGTTTGAACAAGTTATTGTATGCACCTTTTAATATTTTTACCACATAACACCAAATATCCATTCACGGTCATGGCTGCAAATCTATTGACATGACGTGCTATAAATAAACTGCAATACGTATCTTGTATCCATGGTTTAAGCTCACTGTGATGTACAAGTCTACAAATTCTACATTATTTAAGGCAGTAATTACCTATGAAAGGCTTTGGAATAGTACTATTTAAATACAAAATACAAGTTCTCTGGAATGCGTGAGCTTTGAGGTTATACATGTTGTAAACTTTGTAGTTGTGTTCGAGTACATTTTCCCCTTTTTACAGGAAAGGTGAACTTTTATATCAAACAACTTTTATGTTCACACTATGATGATGAACGTTTATGTCCAAAAGGAAAATCTAGCTTTTTTAATAATAATATCTTTGCAATTGAAATAGTACTATGTTACGTCTTCGAGACATCTCAAAGTGCTTCGCAGAGGGTGCAAAAGGCACCGACTAAATGTTGTGGATAAAACGCGACAGCTAATTGCGCACAGCAGGATCCCGCAAACAGTCGTGGACTGAGTGATCAAATTATTATTTTTAAAGGGATTATTACCCTCCGGAAAGCGATCTGCCAATGGACTAACATGGGTCACCTATAATATTCAGTTAAGTTCAATTATTAGATTCCTAGTGACACCATTCTTCTACCAACAATGTGGTAATAATGCCTCTTATTTAGTTTTCTTTAATTCCTCTCGCTTCTGTTAAAACTAGCGTGACTCTGGTGCCGAAGGCGATGGAATGACACACCGAAGGAAAAAGCGAAGAACGTGTAACGTGTTGGAAGATGGTAATTCTCAATCTCGCGACGACTGTGCAAGCAAAGAACGCAGCTCTTCTAGGTGACATGAAGCATAGTGGGGGAAATACTCAAATTGGCTGCCTAAAATTACTGATTCTCAAGACAAAAACCTGCGCTGCAAGATGAAAACTAATCAGTTTTAAGAAATTATTTTAAATTCTGAAATAATTTTCTGTTGCCAGTAATTGTTTTTATTTACCTCCTTGGTATTAATGATAAAGCCAGACAGAGTTATGACATTGGAATAGCCTTTTAAATATCTACAATATGAAATAGATTTTTTTTAGTTAAAATTATCTGGTGGTGTAAAGATATTTTTATAAACTGCCCTAAATTAATATTAACACGCTGCATACGGTTATCAGACAATGTTGGTGCCCAAACGTATTAGGTTGTCTTTATTACAGTGGATATTTCTGTTCCATGTTCTTCTTGAAGTGAATAAAGTTGATTGCTGAATAAATCTGCTTATTCGTCTTTCATAACTATTCCACATGTTCTGTACATTTGTGTAGAGTTTGTTAATTTGACACATGGATTTAAGAGATTAGATCTATACTTAATCTTGGCACAGCCAGCTTTACATTTACTAAAAATTATTTTTGCAGATAAACCTGTAGATATGGAGGAAGGAAATAAAATATACAAGGAAGAAGCTCAACCGAGAAATTTGATTTTTTAAAATTTTTAAAAAGAGAAAAATCTATTGCGGTCTTATTCATTAGAGGATAATGATTGAAAACCTATACTGTCATATGATTGAATTACATGTGAGTAGAAAGTTGTATGCAATATTACATCATGTTTAAATATTAAACATTTTAATAAAGATTACATTTTATGAGTAATATTGTGAACATGTATACATTTTTACAATTCAGGAAATGGTTCCAATATACATAGCTGAGCCATTATGAGATCAGTATTGCACAAATGTTTCAAAACTGTTCACAATTTTTCATGGACTTAAGCGTATTAGAAGCTTTAAATTAAGGTGCATTCTGGAAATGTGTTGATCTGATATGGTAACTACTGAGGTTACAGCATGAACCATGCAGTCTGTGCTTTTAAAATGTCATTTTTAACCTGCATCTTCTCCTGAATTTCCATCTGTATAGAAATACCTTTTCTGCTTTGGCTTGTACGCTTGGTGGTACACAACTTCAGGTCCTGAGGATTGCAGTTCATTTATCCTGGGTTTCCTGCAAAATCTCATGCACTTGAAATAGTTCTATTCAACAAAGTAATTTCAGCACTCCAGACATCAATCGCTCAGTGTCTTTCAAATTCTGCTTTCTCTTAAATTGCCTTCATCAATTGAATATTCATGAGATTAAGGGAGGTTCAGTTCATGCAAATTAGGATATTTAAATAGTAGACACCCTTTTAACTACTTTTCCATTCTGCTTTTAAATCCTATTGAAAAATATCTTCATGTTCTACTTCAGGTCTCATTGCTGCCTTCTTCAGAGAGAGACCAGGAAGGTCTGAGCCATGGTCTTGCACATATCTCCCATCATTGCTGTTGACTAATTGCCCAACAAGAGGTCTCCTTCTCTCACGCAGAAATGGAGCATTCTGCTGCACTTGAGAATTCGTATCTAGTCATTTCTTTGCTCGCTGGGGAATGTCATTCATGAAAGATAGTCGATTGTTGGATTTCAATTTTGACCCTTTGGTCACAAGTCCAAAACTGCATCGCAATTATTGAGTTGCTGCACCTTGTGATTTATTTAAAATGCTGGTCTGTTGTCCCCTGATTTATTTGGTGCAATAAAATACTGATGTTTTGCCCTCTGATGATGTAAAATTCATATCACTACACAGAATACTTGAATCGATTTTCTACTTTATTTTTTACTTGGAATGCACAAACTAGTTATTGTATTTTTAAATGTATCTGCTGAAGTTGTCACAAAGTTTTTGTATTGGAGGGAATGTTGTGGGATAATGAATTGTCCTGAAATAGAATCTAAACATAACAATTTGTTTTAAAATAAATAAATGGCACAGAAATGGTACATAGTTTGTGTGCACTTATTTAAATGAAACCAAAACAAAACCGACCGACAGTACGTGTTTAGTGTCTTAATAATCATTGGCTGTATCAAACATATTTGGCAGCAATTGCTGTGATTTTGGAAGTGATTTGCCACCGAAAATGTGGTAGAATTTGAGGTTGTCAGTGCACCTTTGCTTACAACATACACAGTCACTACACTTTACAATAAATCCTGCTTTGAGATCTCTCAATGATATGCTATGCTAAGGCACTATACAAAATACAAGGATTGTTGCAGTTTGGACTTCAGCCTCTCACATGGGGAAGGCAGTTTCAGGAATAGTGCCATTTATGCCCACTGCAACCTACAGACTGGCAAGTGGAAAGAAGACTGTTTGAGTTCCTTGTAGACTGTTTGACATTAAAGCTAATTGTGTGACTGGATCTGTAATAACATTATAAAAAAAAACACAATTTTGAATGTTTACTGAAGGCATAGACTCCAAAAGCTTTTATTGGCCTTGATGCAATATAGAGGTATGCATCTCAGTCACTTTCGTTACTCCCCTCCACATACTAGAGTGGGTTTGCTCCCAGCAATATGAACTCAGTACAGTGGAAACTCACCTGCATTAATATGGTCAACTCACTAATGTCAATTTTTTTTAAGTCCTTTTAATTTCAATATAATACTATACAGTAATACACTGCTGATGGGGGTCAGTGTACCTCATCTGTTTGTTGACCTTAGGGAGGTTACACTGGCAGGCTTATCAAACCTTCCTCACTTGTGGAATAATAACCTGTATCACCTGTTGTTTTATGCCCATGATCTATCATGCAGTTACAGTACAGCTGCAACAAGACTACACTGTACTTGTGTATCCGAGGTTAAAGTGACAACGTGCCATTGACAACTATTGCACAATGAAAAACAACATTCGTTTCAAATCAGTGCAGTAAATCAGAGTTGCCACTTGGTGAAGTCAAAAGACAGTACAGCTAGTTACAAGCAGTTTGGTGGTCATTAAATAGTAATGTGCAACATATTACTACAACACTTATACCCTACTTCTACGTGATGTTATTTAAAATACAGTTTAATATCTGGATTAATTTAACATCCTTGTGCATTCTATTGTTTGCCTAGATCTTGCATGGCACCGAGGGAACAAATGATCACTCATACTGGGACACAAGTTACACCCTCAGGTTTTCAGATCATAAAAACCTGTGTGAAGCTATGATTTATTCACCAATTCCATCGCAAACAACATAAAATTAAATATTCTGTGCATGCTGGGCTGACTGAAGATTTATTTCTCTAAAATATTTAAAAGCTTAAAAAGTTCTGAAGCTTTATATTACACACCAGAATTACCATCCATTACATTTGTATTCCCCACACTTTTTTAAAATATAAAAAGTATTATTTCATCAATAAATAAATTATATAATAAATATAATTTAATATATTTATTCATTAGATATTATATTTGATATATTAAAATGTTGATAATACATTTTTAAATAATGTAAATAAATAAATACAGTCAATTTACTTTACAGTATATTCTGTGAAGAGCTTTGAGATGTCTCAAAGATATGATAAGGTGCTATGTCAAATGCAAGTGTTATTATTATTTCCCACACTTGCCTCCGGGCTGCTTGCCACACCTAGTGGACGAGACAAACAACATCCACAAAGACGTCTGGTTAAATAATTTAATTTTCTTTCTGCTTGAGAACTGTATTGGACTGTACATAGGGAAAGGTTAAGAGTTGTTCACGTGAACAAATATTCTATGGGATACGATGATCGATGAAGCTGCTATGGCTTATGGAGAGAAATGGAGAGCATTTTATATAGCCAGGAAGATAAGAGTGTTTAGGCTGATATCAATAGACGTTGAGGTTTTCTGTGGTCTGAGGAAGGAGTAGCTCAATTGGATTAAATAATAATATAACAATAATATTCCTTGCATCTGACATAGTGCCTTATCAAGTTGTTGAGATGTGTCACAGCGCTTTACAGAATATACTGTAAAGTGAGTTGACAATATATGTGTGTGTATGTATAATCTATAAATAATATATATTTAAACATCATTTTCTTGTTCCATATGTTCTCACTGAGCTACTTGTGATAACGGACATCAATCATGTTCAGAATGAATTAACCCAGCTGGTAAAGCTTGCAGTCAATCACACCAAGGGTCTTCTCGTTAGAAAGAAACTTAACCCTGCTCAATTTGCATAATTGTTTTGCTCCTCTCTTTCTGTTTCATGGAGAAACAAGCCTTTGGCCCCAATAGCTTAATCTCTTACGAGGAAAATAGGCTAAAGAATAGACTTAAGAGGATAAATCTGGGATGGATTAAACAAGAGAGAATAGTTAAAATAATAAGCCTCAAGTTACCGCACCACAAAAGCAAATCCAGGCAAACCCACACTCCCCATTGCAACCCCAATGAAATAACAATAACAGCAATCGACAGCCACCCTTGCGTTCGATATAGCGCCTCATCGCGGCGTTGAGACGTCTCAAAGCGCCTCACTAAGCGAATATTAGTGGCAAAGTGAAATTGACTGCCTGTTTCGTGGGAGAAACCAATGGATGGCAATTGCATTTGGGTGCTGATGCAAGGAAAAGATAACGGGGAGGAGGGAGGGGAGGGGAGGAGGAGGGAAGGTAGTGGGGGGGGGGGGGGGGTGGGGGGTGAAATGATCAAATCGTTGGCTTCTATTACATAGGAAAAGCCTTGAATTCAGGCAGTGGCTTCGAAATTGCAGATCGGGGAGGGCGGGTTAAGGAAATGACGATGTGTTTCCCAAATCCTATCCATCTTTGGATGTCATTCGTGATCCACAAAGCGCTGTTATTCGCCAGTTGGGGGCTGACTGAGAGGCAGTGGGTGGTGGTGGTGGGGGGGAAGGAAGGGAAGAAAGAAAAGAAAGGGAAGGAAATTGGTTCAGTGGTGGGTTGGTGTTTGCTCCAATATATATATATATATATCTATTAAAAAAAAAGGAGAAGAAAAAAAAAGAATAAAACATGGACGTGGCAATGGATGTTTATCTCACTGTCCCTCTTGTGTTCACTGTCTTGGCTGTGATCATCGCTTCTCTGTATCTGAAATTCCGACCCACAGATACTAAGGAGGAGACCATCACCACCACCACCACCACCAAAGTTGATGAAAGCCAAACTGCAGAGCAGAAACCCAACGTGGAAGGAAAAGCAGCAGCAACAGCAGCAGCAGCAGAAGACAGCACCAAACCAGAGGAGGAGGAGGAGGAGGAGGAGAGGGCTGAGCAGAGCCCACAGGAGCCTGAGAAACCCAAAGAGAAGATGAAAGTGGAGGAGATCGGAGCCGAAGAGACAGCAGTGCCCCAGAGCGAGGACCCCCAGAAAAGGGCTGAGCAGGAACCCACCCCCCAGGAGGGAAAGACCCTGAAAGCTCCTGGGGACCAGCAGGAGCCCAGCCCCAGCCCCAGCCCCAGCCACCCCGAGGAGAAGCCTAGAAAGGTAAAGTCACTTTTTTTAAATTATTATTTTTATTATTATTCAATTGAAATTCAAACACATACACACACACACACACACAGAGAGATAAACCCCCTGTCGTTTTGCAAGTCATTCTGCAGCTCCACCAGATCCACACACACACACACACACACACACAGTGGGTGTTTTTTTTCCCCCCGAGAGACTCACTCAGTCCATCCACTCGGACCCCAAACCATTCATTGTTCACTCTCAGCGCAAGTTAACGCGCATCACACAGTCCGCGTTAAAGCAGATGCCGTCCAAAGGACTGTGTGTGTGTGTGTCTCTGTGTGTCTGACATGTGTGTTTGTTCCAGTGTGTGTTTGTCTGGTATGTATGTATGTTTGTGTTTGTCTCGTGTGTCTGTCTGTCTGTGTGTGTGTTTGTTGTGTGTGTGTGTGTGTCTAGTGTGTGTATTTGTGTGTGTTTGTTTGTCTGTCTAGTGTGTGTCTGTGTGTGTGTGTGTGTGTCTGTGTGTATGTTTGTGGTGTCTGTGTTTGGTGTTTTTGTTTGTGTTTGGTTTTGTTTGTGTGTGTTTGTGTGTGTTTGTGTATGTCTGTGTGTGTGTTTGTGGTGTCTGTGTTTGGTGTTTTTGTTTGTGTGTGTTTGTGTGTGTGTTTGTGTATGTCTGTGTGTGTGTGTGTCTGTGTCTGTGTGTTGTGTGTGTGTGTGGGGGGGGTTCCTCTAATAAGCAATACTTGAGGCTTTAATTTTTTTTCAAGAAAAAACGTTCTCACCAAAGTTAACTTCACTTGCACTTATCTGGTGTGTGTGTATATACACATATACACATACGTGTGTGTGTGTGTGTGTGTTTTCCTGTTTAACATTGGGGCAGTGGTGAATTGTGAGACAGTGACTGGCACTGCGCTAATACAGACCAGGACTGCATTGGTGCTCTCTCTCTCTCTCTCTCTCCCCACAATAATCCCCTCTCCCATCAGTACTGTACCAGCCCTGAGCAAAGCCCTGGCAGCTTCCCCTGACTGACGCACTTCTTAATAGCCATGAACTGAACTGCAGCATTTTTTTCCTCTTAAGACACACTTGAGCTATTATTTCTCTCTCTTACACACACTTCTGCAATGTCTGGAGGAACCAGTGAGCCTAACCATCTGCATTGTATTGGCTTAACTGGTCTCTTAATTGACACAGAGAGAGAGAGAGAGAAGTATTTTCGGATTGTTATCACATTTGTAAGTCGATGTGCTGTATTTTAAAATAGTTGTTTCGGTTGTTGCAACTGTTCTTTTCGACTGATTGAAATCCCAACGTAACCAGGAGTTTTGCTATTTGCTGAGATTAAACACTGACTCATCTATTTGGAGTGGGGTGGGTGGTGGGGGAGGAAAGAGGGAGGAGGAGGAGGAGGGAGAGGAGGGAGAGGGATGGAGCTCAGATCACCACGCCTAGCAGTCCAGGGTGGTTGAGGCTGCTATTCCTGGGCTGATGTTAATGTGCAGCAGGTGGTTTCTGTGAAGACCAGGTTCAGTTCCAATTGGTTTCGGGCAGCTGGGTGTCTGACACATGCAGAAACCCATCACCAGGCTTAAGAATAGCTTAACCAAATTGAGAATGCCGCACTGCCCCCTACACATGGAAATTCCAGAGAGATAGATTGATGGAATGCGCGCTCTCTCCCTGGAGGATCCCATTCTACTTAGTTAATTCCAAAATATATTAGGCTTTGATATTTGGATTCCATTCCAACTATTCCCCTAACCCCACAAAATGTGCTTGATAAAAGGACCTCCACTCACTGAAGCCCATTGGGGGGGGGGGGTGGTCTAAACGACCAGCGTCGTCACTGGCTTGTATCTAGTTTGACGCTTTGTGACATTCCCGTACTATAACAACAACAACAAAATTACATTTATAGAGCGACTTTCACGTCGGGAGGACGTCCCAAAGAGAACAAAAGGAAGCAATGTTAAACCCACTCCCACCACAACCTACTCAGTCTTGCCTATCATGGATTTAAGCAGTTAACCCAACCCACTGCCTGATGAGAACTGCATGGAATCTCCCTATCCAACCTCTGTCAAGCATCTGAAAAATCTCCCCTTCCTTTTTGTTAAAAGCCTCTTCCTCCCCCTCTCTCACCCCATGTGATGCACATCATTGTCTAAAGGATTGGTTCATCTGGGTCTACACCCATTTCTAAATCTCCAATGCAGTTTTAAGAGGCTGACAAGATTGTAGGAAGGATGTTGGCTGGTGGGTCAGTAGCCCTTGTCTTAAACTCATGCATGAGCAGCGTAGGAAGGGGAAGAATGCTAAGATACTCTACTGGCACTTAAGATTCATTTGGTGGGTGGATGGCGAAAAAGGGAGAGACAATGACTTGAGATTTTATTTGGGATTTTTTTATTTTGGACTCAATTCTTGGTGCTGTGATGTAGTTTACGTTAAATTTCAATTTGGTGAAGATGGAATTATAGCATTAAAGATATTATCGAAGTATCCAAGTTGAAATATAAACATAACTAACTTTAAGATGAGACTAAAACACAAAATATTGCAGATGCTGGAAATCTGAAACAAAAACAGAGCTGGGAAAACTCAGCAGGTCAGGCAGCATCTATGGAGAAAGGAAAGTGAATCAACGTTTCGGGTCCACAAATGTTTCGTCAGAACTGTCAGAATTTTTCAATGTTCCTCTATATCTGATATCAAGATTTAAATGCATGAAAAGGGCAGATATTTCAACCGGTTTTGCTAAAACTCAAATCTATGAAATTAAGATTGAATTTTTTAATCTCACTTTTTTTAAAAGAAGTTCCATCTGCAGCGTGCAACCTGTAGGTGTTAAGACGATTATAATGATCAAATATAGCGAGTTATCAATGCTCCTTGTAAATTTCCCCCTTCCTATGTGCTTTACCAAGATTTTAGAAAGACTTGTCATCTTGTGAAATGCACACTCATATCCATGTACACACCAGGATTACCTCAGTAGTGGGTATGCTTAGTTTTTGTTACTGTGGGAGATTAAGGCATCCTACAAGGACAGTTATAATAATATTAATTATAATAATCCTTGCATCTGATATAGCGCCTTATCATGGTGTTGAGATGTCTCAAAGCACTTCACAGAATATACTGTAAAGTTGCAATGTTATCATAGTCTGTCTGCCTTTCCGGTCCAAGTATTAGTGAATGTGTTCCTTTATTCATAAAATCTGTTCCCTGTCTCCCCTCCCCCCCCCCCCACCCACCCTGACTGTACTCTTCACTCTCTTGTTGCTCCAACATTCAAACTGCCACCAATGGAATGGGCAAAATAGCTAGGAAATGCCAACAGAGTACTCCAGAGAAGCATTTTGGTTGTGTTTATTTTGGCGTACCATTCTGCCTTGCTCAAAATTGAGGATTGGTTGAGATGTCAAGTTCCGCTGAACTATACAAGTAGGATACTGAAAGCCTTGTGAGCCAGTTTGGAAGGCTCGACTGCTAAATCTGTTTTGAATCTGGTGGAATGTAAATGCATCTCATGCTGCTACTCTTGTTAAATGCCACACGTGTGCTCAAGAAATTGATGCAGAGCATGTCTTTGTTAGTCCAAAGCAGTTCTCAACTCCAGCTGAAGCCTAGCCGAAGTTATGTTATGCAGCACTCTCCAAACTGGATCAGTTTCCTCGGTGTGGGTTTTAGTCATTTGTATTCAGGAATTTATGGTATTTGAAACCGTTTTAATGATGGGATCAGTAAACATAGTTATTATGGGCACGATTGGTGGAAAAAGGCAAGTGGGATATTACAGTAACTATGGATCCATTTGAACTGAATATTTCAAGCTCCAGTATGATAAGTTATGATTCCGGTTTAACTGTTTATCCCTGATGGCCTTAGTGGCTAATGGCAGCTCTTGATGCAGTCCTGGATTATATAGATTTGTGGATAACCGGTTCAAATTCTTGCTTGTGTGAGCTAACCTCAGTTAACAAGCAATGCTGCGATTGACCTTGGCACTTCTGGGCTAGCGAGGAAAAGATGACCTACGGATCCTATTTCTGACTTCTGCCCAGATTCATGGCCTGCCAACACTCGCTATTAAATGCTCACGTGTGAGTTATCTAACCAAGGGACTGGTGGCTAATTGGCACTGGGGAACCGTACTTGAGGGATGAGAGAGGAAGCAATCAACAACAACAACAAATTACATTTGTATAGTGCCTTTCATGTCGGGAGGACGTCCCAATCAAGTCTTCAGAGGAGGATGCAAATTGGTTGGGGGCTGGGGGGTGGGGGGGGGGGGGGGCGGAAGAGAGAAGGTTGCTTGAAGAAAGGGAGGAGAGAGACAGCAAGAGATGAAATCCTGTTTGCTCAGCTGATGCTTATTGTTAGGCCCAACTACTTGAGAGAAGCAACAATAGGCTTGGAAGAATGGCAGCATTTCAGAGAGAAATGATAGCATTCTTGGACTGAAATGCATATAAATGGGTTCAAATTTTGATCTCGTTTATTTTAGAGTATAAGACACAAGGCCATTCAGCACGTTGAGAACCGCACAAGAGTTCCTTTGTTTCCCTTCATGACAGCATATCACTAAAAGCTAAGACAATTTGGTTTCTGTAGCTGAGGTAAGAATTCCCTTTCCTGTTCCATTACTCTCATAATCCCTGTTCTGTGCAGGCTTGAATGGTATTCATATCTCCTTTCCTGTTGGTCTCTTTCCAGCTTCACAACTTCTCTCTAAACATCTGCAAAGCACATTGCTACATTTTGAGACTGGATTCGAATTCTGGTCCACATGAAGATCTAAGGTTGTCTGTCTTATTGTTTACTAGTAGGATTTGCAACTGCATTCATGTCTTGAGGAGCTCTGGAGGGGCAAACATTTTATCTGAGTCTAGATTCTTAGCTTGGCAGTGTGCATGTATTTTGTCAAATTGTTAGTCTTAATTTTGAAGCCACCTGAGAGAATACAATTGCAAAATATTGCTCTTAACCACCTCCACATTTGGGGTCTCTGGTTC